AAGTAATATATACATAAATAGAATTAAAATCAATTATTTAAATATAAAGAGTACACTGTACATGTAGATCAAAATCAGCAGTATCACTAATATTGAATGAATTAACGATTTCTTTCAATATAGTAGCCTTTTCAGTTTCTTGAGATATATTTGTATCAGATTTATTATTAAGAGTTTCAGTTATAGAAAATCTATCACTGTGAGATGTCCGTTTTCTTAAAAATCCTATAGGTTAAAAAGAGTAACCCAAAAATAAGAAAAAGAATAACAATAATATCATTTGAAGTAACAAATGCCTTTTTTCGAAGAATGAAAGATGAGAAGCACCTGATCCAGTAGAAGTGCCCTTAGTAGGAGATGGCCGTGTAGAGGTTTTTGTAGTAGATGAAGTTTTAGTAGATGAAGCTTTTCGAGTGGTTGATGTTTTAGTTTTGCTTGATGAAGATGTGGGAGCTGGTGGAATTAAATTAGTTGATGTTGTAGATGAAGCTATTGATGTCGGTTTCTGTTCCGGTTGTGGTTCTGGCTCTGGTTGAGGTGTAGGTGGTGGTGACAGTTTTGATGAAGATGTAGAACTTGGAGTTGATGGAAGTGTAGCATCTGGATCTGGTGGAGGCGTAGTAGTTGGATATCTAGTTATAAAAGGATATGAAAGAACTGGTACTTTATTTGAATCAAAAGACTCTCCGAAAAAATGAAGTTGCCAATCAAAAACTTCACCATCTAGATCCGAATCCTTTCTATCTTCAACATCAATAGTCCAGTTACCTACAATGGATTCTCCCCTAAAAATCATTAGTTATTATTTCATAAAACGAAACAAAATACCAATGCTTTACAGTCATAAAAGTCCAATAAATAGTGCCAGAATTTCTATCAATAGGACGTCTATGTGCTAAATGTGAAGTAACTTTAGCAGGGCTGGTAATATTAAACTCCAAACGACCTCTATATTCGTGCGTATAACAAAATGAAACACAAACATATTCCAAATTTTTAAAGTTATAATGCTTAGGATATCCACTATGAATATAAAAAGTGCTTGTGATATGTCCATCGTTTTCAGAAAATTTCTTATTAACACGTATTAATGGAGTTGAAAACACTGTCTGACGATTTAATTTTTTAAATGTTTTTGCTTTTTTGACCATTGCATATGCATCTAGTTTCCCAAAACCAAAATAATTACTATAATAACGTCCAGAAGGAAGTTTTTCCCATCCAGAATGTTTCAAATTAAACGGGATAGCTGTCTCCACAATCAAAGCTTGAATATCATGCCATGTAAGATCAGGACTAATTTTTCAGTTAAATAACTTTAATGATATTCTTACCATACTGAAAGAACAAGAGCGATAATGCCCGCAGCAATCGGTGTAGAAGCAGAAGTTCCAGTATGTAAAGAGGTGCATTCTGTCTTAACATCCGTAGTATACTATGACGATAAATTTATTATAAAAAATAAAGAAAAGATTACAATATATCCATTTTCCCCACCAGAATATGTAGAAGCTAGACTGCAAGGACATTGCTCTGAAAAGAAAAAATCTTCTTCTTCTGCATCTGCAGCAGCAATAGTAATAGTATATGGACTATTTATGTATCCATCGTAATTACAATTATCATAATACCCACCATTTCCTGATCCGAAAACATATATAGAACCAAGACCATTCCTTCCTTCATTTATCCCTTTAATAATTGCAGAATATGTAGAATAAGGAATAGCTTCAGTTATATTTCCAATATCGGAAGGCCCCCAGCTACAAGAATAAATATAGTTAACATCATATTTATAAGTAAAAACCCTTCCCTCAACCGAAGCAGTAACAGAGGAAGACATAAATCGTAATCCTTAAGAATATTAGATTGGTACCAATCAAGGAAAAATACCTGAAATCTTAGATTCATATGCAACACCAATCCCACACAGAGTATTCTTGGCGGCTGCCACTTCTCCTGCACATCTAGTACCATGTATGTTATAAAAAAATTTAGGTCTTGGATCAGGAATTTTATCACTAAAATCATATGAAGCATTGGCATTCTGAAAAGAGTTAAAATAGCGATTATATAATAGTTTTTCAAACATAATTTGGAGCCAAATCCTTGTTAGTATAATCTAAGCCATCATCTACAATGGCAACTGTTATACCTTTTCCCCTTATCCCTAAAATCATTAAAAGGCGATCAATAACACAAATATCAAACCTTCTAACCATAAATCTACAACATTTATATCTACACCAGGTCTTTGTGTATTGAACTAATTAAAAAATCAGATTTTAAAGAAAAAAAAAAGAATAAACTATACCAAATACCATTGTTTATCAAAAAGAGGGTCCTTTATATCTAATTCTTTTTTAATTTTCTCTAACTTCTGTGTTAGATTTACCGGCAGATCTACCGTCGGATCTTTTACAACATTCTTGACAACCCTTCTATTATAAAGACCTTCATTATCAAAATATATATCGTCTCTTATCACACCCCTGTTTTCTCGCTTGACCAACTTTTGTTTCTCATAATAAAAAAGCTTGTCACTATTAAACCCATCTATTGCATTTCTTCCTTTTTCTAAACCAAAATAATTCTCAATTTTTTCTTTAATTTCGTCTTCTAAAACACCCTTTTCTATAGAAAATATATGCTGGTTATCCAGATATTCTAGTTTCTCATGATATTTGAATCCTAACGCCCGCGAAAAATCCTCAATATCAACATCTTCTGAGAAATGAAAATGATAATAATCATTATTCTCAAAGTCTACTGGCTCCGTTTCACATCTTACTCTAACTAAATAGATCCAGTATAAGAGAAGAGTAAGGAATATCTTGAGGATCATGACGAAAAGTTAAGAAAAAACTATTTATCCTAAGTTTTTAATTAGAATTTCTTAACTTTTTAGTTAGAAATTCTTAGATTTTTTAAAGTTTAACTTTAGCATTAAAAATATTTAATCAGATTAAACCCTAACCTTATCTTCAAGAAGACCTCTAATCTTTGTCCTCTTGTTTTTACTAATAAAAGATTAATTTATTTTCATTTAATTTATTATCTTTAATAACACCCTTTATAATTTTTTCTCTCCTTTTTATTAATAAAAAATCAATTTGTTTCCATTGACCCTTTATTTTTAATAAAACGTTCTTTAAAACTAATTTAATATTTTATTTTAAATAAAAGCCCTCTTTAAACTTTGATCTTATCTACTGTTTTTAACAAAATTTTTTTAATTTCATTTTAATTTATTATTTTTAAATAAAAATTGATCTGATTTTACTATTAATAAAAACATCTTAAAATTTTGGTCTTTTGTTTTAATTAATGAAAAATCAATTCAACATTATATAATTGGTTACTTTTAATAAAAATACTTTTAAATTGAACCATCCTTTTAATCTCCAGTCAAACCCCTTCCAAATCATTTTTATCAAATCTCCACTAGCCTCGCCCTAACAACAGACTAATTTCCGATAAACAAATTTACTAGTTTTTAAGATAATCATAAAGTTTAGTTGTTTTTTTTGCAATAAACTTGAAGTTTATTAATTTTTTTATAATGATCTTAGATTTTATTAATTTTTTTGGAATAAACTTAAACTTTGTTGGTTTTTTAGGGTAAGCAATAGATTTTGTTAATTTTTTCATCATAAAGTTTACTAGGTTTTTTAAAATAAACAATATAGTTTACCTATTCTTCTAGGATAAACTTAGATTTATTCTTATTATAAGCAAAGAGTTTACTAACTTTTTTATGATAAGCCTAAACTTTACCGTATAAAGCATAGTCTTGGACTAAGATTGCGTGCTAAAATAATTAAAACTTCATTTTTCAATTCTTCATTAAAAATTTATGTATCATTCTTCTAAATTTCCTGTACTATATATAAATAATAGATATATTCAAACTTTATTCCAGTTCTATTTTTCTTATTTATTTTACAACATCCGCATAACAATAACTTCCAAGAATATTATTTTGATCATTTCTGGCACTCTCATCTTTATTCCTTCATTGACTTTGACTTCTTCCTCTCTCTGCGTTTCTTCAATTTAATTCATTGTATATCTTATATAGTTATATTTTTATATAGATACAATATATTTCAGTATTTATGCTACTTAGGTTATATATGTTTTCTTCATTGGTTGTTACCTCTCAAACTAATTGAAATAAGATTTATATTTTTTATTTTCATTATTTTTCATATATTTCAATTTTTCAATTTTGTTTTTATTTATATTTTTTAATCGAGAATGACATATATAATTGTCATTTAAGCTTTTTAGTGTTTTTAGTTTTTACCTTTATTTTTTATGCGAAGCATAAAGTTTAATAAATTTTTAATTTCCCATTGTGTAGATTATTTTTCTTACTTTTTAAACTATCAGTTTTTAATAAATTTTAATTCTAAAGTATACATAAGTTCTATTTTTATCATTATCTAGATTTTTAAGAAACAATTAAGTGCCAATGTCTTAAATTATCATATTGAAAGATGTATTCTATGTCTTTTGTATTATCTCTAACTTAACCAATGATTTTAAATTTCTTAATGTTAGTTTTAAATGTGCTATAGCGTATTTAAAAACATTTAAATATTATATTGTATGACAAATGCAAAAGAATCTACAGAAAATTAAGTCACCCTTTTTCAGGTAATCTATGAGGTTTCTTTTTTAGCTTTACAATCAGCTGTATTCTTAAAAATATAAAAGTTTTAAAGCAGTAATTACTATTTGAATTTTCTTTTGATTTTTAGATATTTATAATGTCTATTAAATGTATTATACTGTTTTAGAAACAAATGAAATTTTATTCCAAATACTAATACATTTTTTCTGATTTAATATGTTTTTTCTAAAGTATAACATTTCCTCTTTAAAATATTTAATATAATTTTTTTTATAAATCTAAATGTTTTTGAAATAATCTCTTGAATATAGATACAGAGTAAATATTTATTGTTACTTATTATCTTTAAGATTTCTCTATATATTTTTTTCATATTTCTTAAGGTCAAAATTGCAATACTAAAATATAATGTTCTTATTTACTTTTAATACTTTATTCTTTGCTAATCTCCTTTTTAGATATGTTTTTGTATTTCTATATATATTTAAAGATAAGCTAAATAATGTATTAAAAGATAAACAGTTTAATTTTAATTATGTTTAGTTCTTATTATAATAATAAATATTAATAATATATTTTTAAAATATGATTTAAATAATTATTTCTTGAAAGAAGCAATTTTTTATATTCATTCTTTATTGATTGCTTTTTGTTATTTTCATCATAAATCTTTTAAAATTTTTATACATTTAAATAAAAAATATTAATTATACATTACTTAATAATTTCTAGTTTATTTTAGTTATAAATTTAATTAAATATATTTTCTTAAACATGTTGATTAATAGCATTAAAGTTTTACTTTTTTATAAAAAGTATATAAATCTATTATTCTTACTATTCTAGTTTTGATTTAGATTAAAAAAATTAGGAACTATATAATCAGATATTTATTGTCAAACTTTTTGCATCTTTTTTTCAATATACTTATACAGTTTGGTTTATAAAAACAATATTATTTTAATAGTAAGTAATATTTATTTTCTAAGACATCACTTGTATGTTCAATATTTATCTTGAGATCTTTCCATTTTTTTAACCTATTTTAAAAATAAACCTTATACATACCCTATTAACATTCCTAGATTAATCTATTGTTTTTAGCTAATATTAAAGAAAGTTTTGCAAGTCCTGTTTTTTTAATTATAATTTTTCAAGATATTGTTAAATTCTCTAAATAATTTTATTATTTTGTATTTATTTCATAACATACATTTTCCATAAAGACATAATATTTCATAATATCAAAATTAAAATTATATTGGTTAAATTAAAGTTTTTGTTGTGCTTTTTATATTTTTCATGTTTATAGTAACGAATTTTTTTATGATTAAAAACAAAAAATATCTTTATTGTATATAATATTTTCTAATTGGACATGTTAAGTGTAGTTGAAAATTCCTAACGTTTGAATTTGAATATATCATTTTTATTAATAAATCCTAAAAAAGTTAGATATCGTCTTTTGAAATATTTCTTTAAATAATAAAAATAAAAAAAAGATTTTATAATTGTACATAATAGAAAAAAAGAAATTTTATGTTTATTATATATTATATATTTAAAAATATACAAAAATTAAATTTTAAAACTTTAAAAAATTCTAATATTATATTAAAATAAACTGTTTAATAGATTGTGTTAGTTTTTAATATTATTCATTTAGATATTTTCTGAGGCATTTATCTTTTTTGTTTTAGATATTTAATTTCCCGATAAAATCATTATCAAAAATAAATTTAAAAATTTAAATAAAGCCATCATATAGAATATTCTTTATATTCTATATGTTTCGTGTTTAAATGTATTTTAAATAATTTCTTTAAGATATTTAAAGCTATAATCGATTTTAAATTTTAATAAAAATTATAATTAAGATTAATATAAAATTCACTTTCTAGATTATTCATATTTTGTTATAAATTTAAGTTTTGATGTTTTATAAAAAAAAGTATGGATATTCATTTTTGAAACTATTATATAAAAACAGGCATTAATTCAACATCTTCTAACTAAATTGCCTGCTTGATTTGAATTTCAGGTAATATAGAGAAAAATACATGCTTTAATATTATCTATAAAAGGGCTTGGCCGGGGCTTGAACCCGGGACCTCGCGCAAAATATGCCTAGGCTATACCCTAAGCGCGAATCATACCACTAGACCACCAAGCCATTCCATAATAGAATCCTGAAATATTTGTTTTTGAATTTATTAAAATGAAATATGTTTAATTTTATATTTTTATTTAATATTTTTTAAATATATCAATTATAAACTATTGTGTTCCTGCAATTTGTTCTATATCTTATATATATGACAAAAAATAATAAAGATACTTTTATTAATAAATATTCATGAGTTTAGAATGATATATTTTTATTAAATATAATCTATAAATTTCATATAGATAAATAAAATTAAATAAAATGATAGTTATACATGTTTTTAAAATTATATATTATAATATATTCACTTTTTCAGTAATTTATTGCTTTAGAAATCAATTTGTTTCAGGTTTATTAAATTCTTAATTTATAGATATTTTTATGTTTTGTTTTGGAAATTATGAATTTCTCTTTCTAAAAGAAAATTAGCAACTTCTACATCAAATATACGTCTAATAGAATGACGAAATTCATTTTCCAATCTCTGTAATTGAAGGCCCATATCTCCTGTTTGAAACTTTTTTCTTTCTTTGTTCAATATGGATATTTCATCTTGTAAATCTAAAAGATGTGTCTCTAGTTGTTGTAAATAATGTTCAAGTTGTTCGATATGTAATAGCCAAGAATTTTTTCCAAATTCTTCTAAGAGTCGAAGATTTTCGATTCTTCCTTTTAAAAACTCTGATGCAACTAAACTCTTATTTATTGCATGGATCCATAATTTTTTATCGGATGTTACAGGCTCTTTAAAAGATGTATAACGTGATAAATCAATAACATCAAGTTTATAACCATTTTCTATACGTTCAAGCTCTGATTTAATTAACATAGATGACGGGTTCCATTCAGTATATTTGCAAACTAATGGGTGAAGAGGCTGATCCACTGGAACTTCTTCGGCAATAAGCATATCTATTTCTGTTTTTTCTTTTTTAGATAAATTTCCGTCATAATCTATATAGATTTATTAGAACTTGACATAAAACTATATAAAAATTATATAGGCATCCTACATGGTAAAGAATCATGAATATATATATTTACCATTTTTTAAAATTAAAAATATCGTCGAATTTTAAAATTTATAATTATGAAACTACTAGATTTATTATTTTTAACGTTGATTTTTTTAGGATATAAAGCAATTTTTATTTTAGTTTGTACTTTATCATCTTTTTTAAATGTTTATGATACTTCAACTTCATTCGTTTTAAAACAACCCAAAAATATTTTACAACGAATCATAACATCATTAGTACGATGGGATAATATATATTTCGTGACATTAGCGCATCGTGGATTATTATTTGAACAAGAATGGGCATTTGGTCCAGGGTTTCCTTATCTTGTTCGTTTATTTACAGGTTTCTATTTAACTAAAAATATATTTCCTTATTTTATGACATAAATATAGACAACATATTTTTAGATAAATCCCTTTATAATTATGCACTTGCTTCAATTATTATCTCGCATTTGTTTCACTTTTTTTCTATTTTTATTCTTTACCATCTTACTTTTAAAATTTATAAGTCACGAGATATAGCAATAGTTACTTCACTTCTTTATCTAATATCCCCTTCTGGAATATTTCTTTCAGCTGGATATTCTGAAAGTTTATTTTCGTTTGTCACATTTCTTGGCTTCTTTTTTTTTGAAGAGGGTTATAATTTTTTAGCAGCATTAACATGGTGTATAGCATCAACAATTAGAAGTAATGGTGTTCTTTGGTCCATTTTTTTCTTGAACTCTGTATTTATATATATATATAAGTTCTTGAAATCTCCAAGATTCTATTTATTTTTTAAAATAGTGAAATTTGGAATCTGTAGTATAATTGTTTGTACTGGTTTTTTTTGGATCCAATATCATGCTTATATTAAATTTTGCTGGCAAAAGAAACAACGTATTTGGTGTTCCAAAACAATTCCTTCTATATACTCATTTGTTCAAAGTTATTATTGGCAAGTTTATTGTTTTATAAAGAAATATTCTAATGTTATAGGAATATTGGCTTTTTTAAATATTTTACGGTGCCTCAGATTCCGAATTTTATATTAGCATTTCCTTCTATTTATCTTTCTATAAGATCAGGAACTTATTCTTTAATGAATAAAAATAGAGTTCAAAAATTTACTAGAAAATTAGATCTTTATTATATTGCACAATTATTATTGACTATATTATGTATATGTGTCATGCATATTCAAATATTTACCAGAATGATTTCTTGTTTACCAGGCATATATTGGTGGTTAGCTAATTATTTATTAAATATTCGATCATGTTTTTATTTAAATAAAGTATCTAATAAAAAAAAGGATAAATCTATATATTGGATAAAAGTTTGGGTTCTATATGGCATGGTTCAAGCTGTTTTGTTTGGTGCATTTTTGCCTCCTGCATGACTCAAAGAGTTAGCAATATTAATTAAATATATAATCTTATTTAGTAAATTTTTTATAGAATCTCATTTATATTTGAATTAATACCTGTTTATATTTTTTTATTTTCATAATTTAATTCTAATATAGTGCTATTAATAATAATAATAGTCTATTTTTTTATAAATATGTACTAATAAATTAGGATACTAAAATATATACATTAATATTTCTAATATGAATATTTATTCTACGTATTTATGCTAAATATATTATATATATATACATATATATATATATATATATAGAATTTCAAATAATTTTTTTAATTTATGAATCATGGAATATTATATTGATCAAATTAAAACTATGGACTTAATATTGATATAAATTAGATAGTATTATAATATGATACCAGAAATATATTTTTTTATTTTTATAGCTAAATAAAGCCCCTCTACTAAAAGAAAATTTTATTAAAAATACTTTAATAAATATATTAGTTGTTTCCAAAAAATTAAAGTCTACAGGGTTCTTCATTATCAATCATTCCTCGTCCCAAATACCAATTTTCGTCGATTAGCTGCCCTTCCATTTTATCCCAATATTCGGCTTTTGTTTCCGGCTTACAATCTAAATCCAATATTTTTATATCGAAAATTTCCTCATGTAAAAAAATAACATAAATTGTACAATCACAAAAAGTCATGCTTAATGTCCTAGAAGAATTTGTTTGCAAATATTTTAAATGATCAATTAGCTGTGATTGTTGAAAATAAAGGCTTAAATTTGTTTCTATATTCTTTTTTTTTAAATATTTTTCATGAAATATATTATATTTTCAAACCTGATTATATATATGATTTTTTATTAAAATAGCTCTTACGGATTTCTGAATTCTGGCTTTGTTTCCTGATGCTAAATCTAAAGGACAATATCTTATACCGTTTATCGTAAGATCTCCACGAAATCTTCTGAGAGCACATGTTCTACATGATTTCCAACCATTTGGCGCTAAAATTGATTGATTTAACCATTTTGGCTAATATTTTAATATGTGTAAAATAATAGGATATAACAAACTTTAAATTCTATTGTACTTTTTGGAAAATCTGAAGATAAATCTCTTAATAAAATCGCATGTGTTTCGTTAATGTCTAATAAAGTATTTTCGTATTTTTTTTTTCTTCTGTTTTTTTGAGTAAGATGAATATTAAAAATTTCTAATGAAACGTTTTCCAACATGATAGGTTTAATAGTTAATATATAACGATCGAAAGGTTTATGAAAGAGGGGAGTTACGACTTTTTGTATGAAATTGATATTTTCTAATGTAGAAACTGGATGGTGCATTTTTTTTATTCTCAAAACTTTATTTGTCTTTGAAAATTAATAATTCATAATATATTTTTTTTAAATAAATTACGAAAAAAGAATTATTTCCAGTATATTTAAATATAATATTGCGGTTTCCCTCTGAAAAATATGTCCAGTCACCAGGATTAATTTTTTCTATCCGACTAATATTCATGAATATGTAATTATTTTTTAACGATAATTTGACAAATATATTATATAAATATAAAATATAATTATTAAAAATCCAAAATATCCATATTATATATAATTATTACATAATTAATTTTCCAGTCGTTTTCTTACAACTCTCTCATACTTATCAACATCAATGTTTCCTGCACTCCAAAAAAGAACAGCTTTTAAAATATAGCCCTCTATTATGCACATACGTTTCGAGAGGGAAAAGCGTTTCCATGACATATTAATAGATACTTGTTCAATCATTCCTATAACAAAAACCCAGTCACCAATATCAAACCGTAAATTAGAAAGAAGAAATGAAACATCCACTTCAATCGCATAAGTTGAGTGGAAAATAAGAGCTCTTGAGGATACTGGATCATAGTCTGAAACACTAAATATAAATAAATCGAAAATTAAAAATAATATTTTTTAAAATTACCATCCTAAAAGTCGAACTTTTTTCCCACAAAAAAGAGATACATCTGAGTATATGTCTGAAAGAAGAGCAATATTAGAGGCAATAGGCCCACGAATTACATCCTCCTGCATTACATACAAATATAATTATGTCTATACAAACATTAGTATTAAATCTTTTAGCACTAATAAACATCCCTTAAAAATATATATCTACCTTACCTAAAAAAACGAAATCCCATGCTGATATATATATATAGTTTTAATATATTTGTTAAAAAGTGCCTTTTTATAATTTTTCTATTTCACAATCTCTGTGTAATCGAGTCGTTTAATTTATTATACGTTATATTTTTATAAAACTAGTTAAAAAACAAGCAGAAAAACAATAAAATTAGAATACTACAATGGTTATTTCATGTCATTTTACTTTATTTTTTGGAATGTATTTCTGCATATATTTTTTTTAGAAAGCAGGAAAAATGACTATAAATACATTTGAAATGCAGAGTAAAAATTCTTTAGATATTATGACAAAGGTTTATATTTTTCCTGAACGCAACATATGTTTTAAATGTCTTTTAGAATGAAGATACTAGCATCATAGAGTCTCAACAATCACGAAATGTACAGGCTTATGCAAAATTAGAATTTGAAGCGTTTAGTTTTTATATTCAGACATTACAGGTTATTATAGGACGCAAGGTAAATAAACTGGATCAGGTTGATGTTCATATTGGATCTACAAAAGCTATTTCTCGTCAGCATGCAAAGTTATTTTATGACTTTACTTCTCAACGGTTTGAAATTTTTGTAATGGGCAAGAATGGTGCCTTTATAAATGAAGAATTTGTAGAATGCGGACAAACTATTCCATTATATGATAAGTATTTTTTCTGATCTATATTTTGTCTTTTTTTAAATATATATAGGACAAAAATTCAAATTGGTAAAGTACTTTTTACATTTTTACTTCCAAAATCTACAGGAAAAGAGAATATTGAAAACGGAAATATTAGAGAAAATCAAGGGATTGAAAAATTAGAATTTCCTCAGGATATCTCTTTACTTTCAAATGGCGTTTCAACTGACCAGTCTCTCGTAACATGTCCTAATATAAATTTGAAAATAGGTCTTATTAAAACGGACGAACCAGATATCCTATCAATACCCTCAAAAGTTTTGGATAATGAGGCATCGAATGCCGTGAACAGCACTTTTCATGATGAATCTTTACTTTCTCATACTGAATCATTTAACGTTTCTATGAAGGAGCATAGTAAGCCAAATTTATCCTATGCATCATTGATTGCACAGGCTATTCTATCATCTCCTTCTAAAAAAATGACACTCTCTGATATTTATGAATGGATTACTGATACATACAAATATTATAAATATGCCCAAAATGGCTGGCAGAATTCTATTCGACATAGCTTATCTCTTAATAAAGCATTTAAGAAAGTATCTAGAAAGGATGGCGAGCCAGGAAAGGGTTCCTTTTGGATGATAAATTCTGAATATCAATGTCAATTTGAGGATGGTATTTATAAACGAAATCGAAAAGGCATAGTTTCTTCCTATCAACATTCAACAACACCTTCCATTACGGCAGATGAAACTTCAAGGTCTTCAACAGATTCAATTCCTATTGTTATTATGCAAGATGGTCAGTTAGCATTAAATCCTGAATATTTTAATACTGTTAACGATAATAATGATTCTAATAAAATACAAAGTAAGTGAAAACAAATATATAATGAAAATATAATTATATATAAAAATAGTTGTTCAAGCAATTGTTTTTTTGCAAAGATATATTATAACTCAACTTGGTCCTCATGCTAAAATCCCTCAAAATGCAGCAGCTATTGCAAATGCGTTAATTGTCGCATTAGACCAACAACTTCAGAAATATCAAAGTCATAAAAATTTTATTTCTAATATTTTTAAAAATCTTACTTTTTTATTACCTAATACTAATGAAAAAATGCATACATCATTAAATGAATTTTCTACGGAAAATAAACAATATATAGCCAACACATCTACGTCTTTGGAATTTATGACTCAGATACCTAAAAGCTCCGAAGTTTCTAAGGAAATATTAAATTCATCTATTAATCAGTCGTACTCTTTCAATAATAAATTGGTGTCAAAAGAATTATATCCTATACAAGTTCCTCCTCCTCCGCCATACTATTCAAAACCGCTGGAATCCAATACTGAAAATAATTTATCATTAAATTCAATAAAAAAAAAAAAGCATCAGTTTTTGTCTTCTGAAAGTTATTCAATAAATTCAGAATCTACCCATAGGCAAGGACTTAAACGACCGCATGAAGGATAGAGAATATCTATGTTTTATAGGCAGGAAAAATATTATCAGTAAATGATAAGAGAAAAAAACAAAATAATGATATAAAGGTTTTAGTGATTTTGTATATTATAAAATGAGTTTAGTAAGATATTGAGTGTATATGAAAGTTTTCTATACAAAAATTAAATATATATTAACAGTCATTTAAATTAATATATATGTTAAATTTATTTTTAACTACTTGTGAATAATAAAGTTATGTGCCATATTATATTTAGAAATTCTCAGTATATAATTAACTGGTATATATATCACTGTATTCAATGACATGCTTGATATGGTTTAATAAGCATTTCTGAAAATTTTTTAAGAGCCTCGACTCCTCTAACTTCTGTAGAAATTTGAGGGAGTTTAACTATATGGAAGTCTTCATAAAGCTCCATAATTTGGTCTAAGTATTTTTGCTGTATTTTATGACGTGAAAGACATTGTTGGCAATCAGAACCTAGCTTGATTAAGATGAATTCTAAATATCTAAATTCCAATAAATGATTAACCTTTGATATTTAACAAAAGCTGATTCACAACAATATTATGTGTATCAATCTCATATGATGTAAGCTCCTGGATCATACGTTCCATCTCTACATATTTAAATAGTGTATAAATTTTTCGTATTTTTTACCATATAAACTTAAAAACTCACTTATACACACAGAAACAAATGTAGTAAGCTCTGAATCTCTAAATTGATTATTTACTTCTACAATGGTTGTCCTCATTTGATCAAGTTTTTTAAACATTTCATCTTGATTGGCATTAAGACCCATAATGCTACTCACTTGGTTAAACATAGGACCAAATCGTGAACCAAGACCCGAAATCTTAGTAAGAGCTTTTTCAAGAACTGTAGGAAAAGATAAAAAACGCAAAGTATGTCCAGTTGGCGCAGTATCAAAAACACAAACAGAATATTCCATAGATTTTACTTGTTTCATAATTTCAGCAAATCCCATAGCCTCATCAACGCCTGGAATAGAAAATGCCAAATCTTGCATCATACCGGAAATAGGATTATTAGGTTGTAATTCAGCTAAAAACTAGATGAGTAAGAACGTATGTGTTTTAATAAAAATACATTGTTCAATCATTTCTTGAATTGAAGAACTAGGATCAATTTCCTAAATACATGAGTCTTGAGTAGATAAAAATTAACTACAAAAACCATAGCAGAAAGATTATGAAATCCATTTACTTTACATGCATCTTTACCAAATTTTTGACCAAAAGCGTCAGATAAATTATGTGCAGGATCTGTAGAAATTAAAAGGACTGATTCGCGAACTTTAGATAATTGAATAGCAAGTGAACAAGATGTAGTTGTCTTCCCGACTCCTCCTTTTCCGCCTATCAATATTAATCATAATGTAAGAAAAAAATATAGAAAAGTATTAACCAACAAAAATCCATTTTAGTGACCGCTGGTCAAGGATATTTTGTAATGTAGGAGGAAGTGGCTCTTCCAACAATGACATTATATTTTTTAATACTTTTACTTAAGATCTTTAAAAAAAGTAACAAATTTCAAATGGTTTTGATAGGGTTAAAAACGATAAGTCTATGTTAAATTGTATTCAACATTAAAATTTAAAGATACAATTGAATCTAACAAAATCTAGTTTATTTTTGATGGATAGGTTTTTAGTCTAGAAAAATCTATACCAAAGACTAATTTATATAAATTAAATTACTAATCTTAAGATTACGAATTAATTTATAGTTTATAATAAACATATTCTCATAATATTCCGGATTCCCGCTCTTGGTCTAGTTGGTTATGGCCCTCGGCTGTAAAAGTCGAATTTGTATTTCTTGGAAAATGAAATATTAAAGATACCGAGTGGTCCCCGGTTCGATTCCGGGAGAGCGGATTGTGTTTTTTATGGGAAGGAAACTTATTATACTTTTATTTAATACTGCTTTAAACATATGGTTTTAGTTAAAGTAAATATTTTTTAACATTAATAATCAAAGAATACTGTAAAAATGTTTTATCTAATATATATATGGTGTTTCTTTAATATTGTATTAAAGTTTTATTTATTTAATTTATTAATATTAAGTGTTTAACAAATTTTTTAATATGTTATTCTAAGGAAAAGTTACATGAAAAATGTATTTATTAAGGAATAATATGTTTAAAGCCTCCTTGGTTTATCGAAATACAAATCGATTACTCGCTCAATAATCTTAAGAAAAAATAATTAGTTTATGGCAGCGCCTGCTCCACGGCTTATACCTAATAAATTCTCTGCTGGACCATCACCAGTTACACCAGAACAAAAGTATTGGCAAGGATTTAAGGTAATGACTTGTTTTATAAATATAAATATGTTTTTTTATGGAATTGATATTTAAATAGTCAAAAGTTGCAATTAAAGAGATTGCATCTATCTCGCATATTCATTTTTGTTCTAAAGAGCCTCATGACTTTGCTGTTACTAGTTCAGCACGTATACAAATTTATTCTTCTCAGACACGAACAGTAAAAAAGACGATTTCTAGATTCAAAGATGTTGCATATTCAGGGGAAATACGGGCAGACTCAAAGCTTCTTATTGCTAGCAACAGTACAGGAGTTGTTCAGGTGTTTATTAGATTTTAATGGTTTAATAGATTCTAATATTTTTTAGTTGTTCGATATCGCATCTCGTTCTATTTTACGAAGTCTCTATTCTCATAAACTTCCTGTTCATGTAACAAAATTTTCTCCTTATTGTCTTACCACATTTCTTTCTGCATCTGATGACAAAACAATTCGTATATGGGATTTACCAACATCAACAGAGACGTGTATACTTCAAGGAAATAATGATTATGTAAGAGCGGCAGATTTTCTTTCTATGTCACATGTTGTTTTAAGTGGTTGCTATGATGGTACAGTTCGTCTATGGGATATAAGAATGCCTGAAAAAAAAAATGAAATAAAGAATTTAAACCATGGAAAAAGTGTCGAAGCTGTTTTGTCTTTAAAAGATGGTTCAATGATTCTTAGTGCAGGTGGACCAGTTATTAAAGTTTGGGATATGGTATCAGGCAAAAACAAGCCTTTAAAAATTATACAGAACCACCAAAAAAGTGTTATATGTCTTTCTAAAAATAATGAAAATTCCAGGATTCTTAGTGGAGGACTTGATGGTCATGTAAAAATATATGATATTAAAGATTGGAAAAATGTACATGATATTAAATATCCAGCACCAATATTATCTATGGGATTATCTGTAATTGTAAATTTATTTATTAAAACTGAATCTAAATCTTAATTTAGCCGGATAATAAACATCTTGCTGTTGGAATGGTATCGGGTTTGTTATCTATTCGATCACGTCAAATAGCCAAGTCTGTTCCACAAAATAGGAATAAATTGAAGCAGTTTTATACTCAAATGATTCATGAAAATAATAATCAGAATTATGAAAATTTAATTATAGAAAAAAAAAGAAAAACTCTTCGTCCATATGATAAGGCATTGAAATCTTTTCGTTATGCAGATGCATTGGATTTGGTTTTAGAAAATGTAAATTTAATGTTTTTTTATTTCTTGGCTAATTGAATTCTAGAAATCACCTCTTGTTACTTTTACTGTAATTATGGAGTTAAAACATCGATCTGGACTATACCAAGCTTTACAAAATCGTGATGATATATCATTGGAACCAATTCTACGTTGGCTTATTCGTTATTTATCAAATCCTCGATACGTATTTACAATTATCGAAGTTCTTATGTTAATTATTGGTATTTTTATATTTTTTATTAAATAAAAACTTATTTTGTTATAGATATATATGGAGCCGCATTAGGTCATTCTATCCTAATCCAGGGTCTTTTATTACGTTTATCAAAACATGTTTCTCGTCAAATCGAGTATTGTAAAGATGCTTGTTCATGTAATGGAATGCTTGAAATGCTTTTCCATGGAAATTAAGGGTCATAATTTCTATATATTGTTTTTATAAAAAAGGTTTTGATTTATTCAGTTTAATATATATATATATATATATGTATATATATTGATAAATATGATGTTTTTTAAAAAACGTCGGATTTATCTTAATCGTTTACCATATCAAATAATATTTTATTAAAAGAGAAATTTTATATATATTTTCGGAAAATATGTTTAAAATATGGAACTATAAAAGTATGTCATTTCATAAGTCGAATATAATTTATATATATTTATTGATATATATTATTGACAAAGTTTAAATGATAAATTTCTAAAATGGCGTCATTATTCTCTATGCCGCCTAATAAAAAGGCATTTTCTATATTGCTTGTAGGCGTTGGATCTGCTGCCGCTGTTTATTACTATATGTATCATTGTAGGTTTAATTTTTTTCGAAATAAAGCTTAATTGATATTTTTATGAATTTAGATAATAATGTAAATGTACCCCAGGGAAAACTTGAACAGTTAGAAAGAAAAGCGGAAAACGTTTATGACAATATTACGTCTCATATAAAAGACGCATATCGTACTGGAAAAAAACAGATTAACAATATTGAAAAAAAATATGATAAAGTTCATAATTTGATCGATCGAGTAGATACGAAAATGGATAGGATAAGAGAATATATTGAGCATAAATAATTTTCATATTTAGTAGAATATTTTTTAGTATATTTTATTATAAACTTTTTATTATAACTTTTTTATTATAAATAAATAATATTCATACAATATTCATAGAATTATACATAGTGAAAAAACTGTTTTATAATATAATCATAAAAAAACTTTCTTTTCTAAAACGATGATAAACTTATACCTGAAGTTCCATTTGCTTTGATTCAATGATCTTTTTTATCTCTGCTAACTTATAATTTCGATAAAATTTTATAGCAGAAAGTGTATCGCTAATTTTAATAATCTGACAGAATTTAGGTAATGTATTTACTAAAATAGTAAGTAATTTCTGTATTTCAGCTATATTTTATCAGATATGAAGAATAAAATTATAATACATACCAGTAGATAAGGGATGTTTAAGAGATGATGTTAATGCTGTAACTACTTCAGACATAGAAAATGCAGATTTACGAGGATAAGTTGCCAATAAACTTAAAATATGAGAAATCAGCAATAGAATACATAGGGACATACACAAATAAACATTCGACAATATTTGATAATTTTTGGAGAGCATTGAGTTGTTCAAAAGCAGGAGATGTGCGTGTATTTTGAGTATGCTTAAATCGAATCTTTATATCGATTTAATAAAAACATATAAAAACATATATACACTTACCCGTTCCAACAAAGAAGTTTGACGATATTTCAGGCTTTTACTAGAATCAATTGATGCATCAGAAGTAGACGTAGTCTTTTTTTCTGGTTCTTGAATTGCTTGTCTTTTTTTTTCTGGATGACAAATAATAGTGTTTGAAGAAACATTTTTTGGAATAATTTTTTTAAGATCTACTGTAATTGATGGCGATAACTCAAGACGAGAACGAAATTGTTTCAAACGTGCAGCTAAGTTAAATTCCTTTGTAGGAAAATCAATTGAAAGACTTCCTATCCGTTTACCATTAAATAATATCACCGTGGGCAATATTTTAAATGACTCCGGCCAAACGCTTACAATTCTTTCAAGAGATTCTAATGTAAAAGATTTTTTAGCCTGCGTTTCAAGAGAATGTTGAAGATAATGAAAAGATGCTGTTCCCTCCCCATTATTTATTGCATGATGATAAACAAGAGCCTGATCAAGTGCTGAAAATAATCTAATAACTGATGCATTCTGTTGATATACGTGTTCACTTTGATTTTTTATTGGCACGCGAATTTTATGGTTCTCATTGACATTTACTCGTTTATTAGCCAAATCAGGCTCCAATAATCTTTTCCTCTTAATTGATGTAGACTTTCCTGATGGAAGAAACGCGTAAATAGGCCTAGACATCTTTTACGTTACAATTTGATACAAGGGCTGGGTATTTTAAAGATTTCAGCCCTCGATCAGAAATACTTGCGTGTGCGTATTCAAGATGTCAAGGGGTAGAAATAAGAAAATCAGTTAATAATTGCTGAAATAAATAGGAACTAGCACAGGATATGATAGACATATTACTATTTTTTCTCCAGAAGGTTAGTAGTTTTTTTTTATTATAAATTTAATAATATTGTAGGCCGGTTATATCAAGTGGGTAAGATCATTGTTTTCAATGTAATATGCTTGATATATATTAGAATATGCCTTTAAGTCTGTTAACTCTACGGGGATTACATCGGTGGCGATAAAAGGCAAGGATTCAGCAGTTTTTATTTCTCAAAAAAAAGTTCCTGTATAACATAATTTTGAATTTTTCCTGTCTTATAATGAATATAGGATAAACTTATTGATCAGGATAGTGTCAGCTATATTTTTCGTATTACGGAGAATATTGGGTGTCTTGTAACTGGCCAGATAGGTAATTTTTTTCTTAAAAAAATATCTTTAATACTTGTAGCGGATGCGCGTGCATCTGTTAATAGGGCACGTTCTGAAGCAGCTGACTTTAGATATAAATATGGGTATGAAATTCCGGTTGATGTTTTGGCGAAACGTATTGCAAACATTAGTCAAGTTTGTACACAAAGAGCAGCAATGCGTCCACTTGGAATTTGTAGGAATTTTTTATTTAAACATTAATTCCATCTCATAGTTTAGCATCTATATTTATTGCTATAGACGAGGAAAAAGGTCCACAAATATTTAAGTGTGATCTTGCTGGATATTATGCAGGATATAAGGCTACTGCATCTGGTCCAAAAAAGCAAGAAGCTATTAATTATCTCGAAAAAAAGCTCAAGTGTGATGGGTTTCAGGGGTCATGGAAAGATATCACTGAGGTAATATTTTTTAAATATCAATTATTTATTTATTTATTTTTATTTTTAGTTAGCTATTAATACGTTATCTTCTGTTTTAAATATAGATTTAAAAGCTACTGAAATTGAAATCGGAGTTGTTGGTGCACCTCATAAGGATGGTCTTAAGTCTTCAAATATTTTTAGGGTTCTAACTACAGATGAAATTGATGAACGGCTACAATCTATTGCTGAAAAAGATTAATGATACTGCAGTTTTTATTGTCTTCATTTTTTGAACATAGATAATAGCTATAATAATGATTATCTAAAGGTATTTAATACTTTATATTATAGAAATATTTGTATATGATAAATTAAAAATCTTATTTCTTAATTTTATGAATTTTGAGCGAATTTTCAAATAATACTAGTAATTTGTTTTTAATGATTGTTTTAATTAGTTTTATTCAAATCGAATTGTTAGAATATATTTTTATTATAATACTACAGGATTTTATTATGAATTAGTTCCATATTTTTTAAAAATAATTTAAATTTATATCATGAATTGTTTTGTAAAAGTAAACTATATACAGGTTTTATAATATTGATCAAGTAAATCGCCAAAATTATTTATAGATATTTAAAAAAAATTATGCCTTTTTTAAATTTATTCTAGATCATATAAAGATTAATGATATGGATAAAATTTAGTTTGTTTATAAATTTAGAAAATTGTAAACATATAAAGACACAAAATATCTCCTAATACAAAAAATATTTTTGTTAATAATATTAAATTTAATCATATTTACAAATATAAAAAACGATAAGAAATGCTATAACATTTGTATACATATTTAATTTTCAATTATGCTTTAGAAATTTATTTAAGTAATAATGATGTTTCTATTTTATTTGTCTTTTTCTTGCATTAAACGTATTTTTAAATAAAAATTACTGTCGAAATATGAATTCATATTTAAACATCTTATTAACAAAGTTATATTATAAATATTTTCTGGAATAATTGGTATCATCTTGCAGCATGTAGCGTGCTTGATGATTTTATGTAATTTTTATGTCAAATACTAGAAAGGCGAATGCGTTATACCGATTGGTTTCTTATTATATTTCTAGACAGCCTGATGATCCGCAATCATTAGAGAATTTTGAAAATATTTTATTAATATGTGAAAAAATCTTAGACGCGTTTGTTTATTGATTTTATGTTTTATATTTTTAACAATTTTTTATATAGTTCAATTTATACTTGTAAAAATTATGATATTGTTATAGTCTCAGATGCTATAAAGAAAAAATGTATGAAACTTCATCAATATTAAGGCAATTTTTCTTATAAGAATACAGTGCTTCGTGAGAACTCAACTTCTGACAATGCAATCAGATTTATTAATTTATTTTCTCGACTTCAATGTCAAGTAAGAGTTTAAAAATTTTATATAAATTTGGTCTTATTTTAGGATATTTTGGTGAAAAAAGCCGAAATTCTGCAATTTCTTTATAGTATTTGTGATTCATCTTATATACCGGCAAAAGTGGAGGTTTAGAAATTTATTAAATATGTTTTTGGATTAATTTTTCAAGAATGTTAAGAATTCTTTTTCTCGTATGAATTTTTATGAAGACACTACAGATTCTGAAAGCTTTTTTTCAGCGATATCATCTAATTTTACTACAGCTTTAAGTAGTTCAAGACCCAAAAATTCAACCCCTAGATCCCTTCTTTTAAAAGCACCTTTAATTGTATCTCAAAATTATGGTATATTTTTTGAAATATTGATATATTGTTTAATAAATCATTTTAGATGCATCTGAATCTACACTTCTGAAGGATATTTCTTTTATTTTACAGGGAATAAGTTCATCAAGCGTTAGATTTTCTAATGAAGGATCCGCAACTATATCACCAAAGCTTCCATTCACTGTCGCTTCTTTGTTATGTCATATTGTTGAACTTGGATTGCTTTATAAACAACTTTTTACTTTTATTTCATTTTCTCATAATATAAAAAAGAGTATTGGACTTATTAAACAAAGTTTTTTTTCATGCTTAGATCAAGAATTGTCTGCATATTTAAACCTAGTATCTACTCTGGAAGTAGAAATTCGGAAGGACTTATTATTGCCTGATGATCAATTAAAAATGCGTTCTGTAACTTTAAAAAGAATTATTATATGGACAAGAGAAGCCTCTATGGCACTTCGATTAATGGCGTTAATGGTAGAAAATTGCAAAAGTATTGTATTTCGACAAATATGGGAAATATATTGAATTATTTAGACTTAAAAGGAGGACAACTTATTAATTGTATCCTCGAATTTTCTTCTCATGGAGATCCTTTCGTCCATGAATTTTCAGAAAAACTTATAGAATCTTTGAGAAAACCATTTTATGATATGCTAATAAAATGGATCTATGATGGAGAACTTTTAGATCCTTTTCAAGAATTTTTTGTTGTTGATAAAGGAATTGATACTAAGTTAAAATTGCAAAGTTCTATTAACATTGTCTGGGAGGGGAAATATGTATTAGATTTAAATATGCTTCCAAATTTTATATCCGAAAATTTAGCTAGGAAAGTTTTTTTAATTGGAAAAAGCTTAAATTTTATACGACATGGCTGCGATGATGATGAATGGGTACAACAACATAGTAAAGCTTCGATGAAAGGTTACGTTTTTTATATTAATTTTTTCATACTGTTGATAAGAACTAGATTTGATTTATGGCGATATAGATTTTCTTGAACACTCAATTGATGCTGCTTATTTGACTACTTCTTCTCGTTTAATAGGATTAATGTCTACAAGATTTTCGTTTTTTGATCATTTAAATGCTTTGAAGAAATATCTTTTATTAGGACAAGGAGATTTTATTGCTTTTCTTATGGAGTCTTTAAGGCAATCTTTCATTTTTAAAAAAATACGAATTTAAGTTAATAGTATTATAGTTTAACTTTAGACAAGCCTGCAAATATGTTATATCGGCATAATCTCACTGCTACTTTAGAATCTGCTATAAGAGAATCAAATGCTCAATTTGATTCACCAGATATAATTAGGCGATTAGATGCACGTATGCTTGAAAGATCACATGGAGAAATTGGATGGGATATATTTACTTTAGAATATAAAGTAGACTCTCCTGTTGACGTAATTGTTACTCCCCGTTGCACTAGACAATATCTTAAAGTGTTTAATTTTCTTTGGAGGCTAAAAAGAGTGGAATTTGCACTTAGCAATTCATGGAAAAAAAGTATAACAGGCGAGCGAGAGATTTTGCGACACATGCAAGGACCTTTATATAGACAATGGCAGAGAGTAAGGTGTGCAAATGCAGAAATGATTCATTTCATATGTCAGCTTCAATATTATATTTTATTTGAGGTTTTTAAGATCTTTTATTTTTTAAAATATTGATTGATAAAGGTTATTGAATCGTCTTGGGATGTGTTTTATTCTTCTATTTCAAAATCTGATTGCACACTTGATACATTAATTGAAGCTCATGCGCAATATACAATGAACATAACACATAAAGGTTTACTAGGGTCTGGAAAAATAGGAAAAGAAGGTTCACTTTTATCTCAATTACATGAAATTCTAAAAATTATATTATTTTTTAAAGAAACTTTGGTTTGATAATAATATTTTAGGAATTTTTTTTTCTAAAAATTTTAGGACCATTTCTATACTTATTCTCTAACAGAATATATCCAAAAATATCATACAACATTTAAGGCGAAATCAGAAACAAAAGTATAAATATTTATTTTTATGGAAATATAATTGATATTTATAGGATCATATAAATAAAGATTTAAATTTAGATTCATTAAATACTAAAACACCTGATGATCCTGGACTTATTATTGAAAAATTAAATAGTCTTGCAAAAGAGTTTCATACTCATGTCATTATGTTTTTAGGAGATCTTGTATATCAGTCAGATAGTGAAATGAGATTTCTTGGTGTTCGTTTAAATTATAATGAATATTATCATGTATCAAAGAAACATATTAAATAAAGGCATATAGAAAAATATAAACTATATAATGAACTCTATTAGCTTAATAGTATATATTTTAAACGTTTTTGTGAAAATTTATTATTTTGAAATAATTGCTTGAAAATTTAATATAAATAAAAATATTTAAATTGTATAATTTATTTATGTATTTATCTTTTGCACGTGTTCGTATGTAAATTAAAGCTTGGTTTAATAAAACTAATCAAAAATGGTTAATATAAAAATTAGGGGAATCTTTTTTTTAGTTAGAAAAATATTACGGATAAATAGATGAATAATTTTTCTTATAAATATTTCAATTTAGACATCTTTAAGTCCAATATATTATTATAAATAAGATTATATGAATTGATGAATTGCTAGTATTTAGAAATTATAATTATTGATTTTTAAATACTTAGTATTTCATTTTTATTTTTTGTAATATGATAACTTTTATATATTAATATCAATATTTTTAGATCTATGATTTTTTATGCATTGTTATTGCTTGAGCAACTAATTTAATAATTTTAGATAATAAAAATTTTATTTTATTTAAGATTAGCTAATTATTTTTTTACTGTCTAGATTTTAATGCCGCGTGAGAAAGTTAATGAGAAATATAAAGTCAATTGTATACATATATCTTGTTTAATTTTTTCTAGATGGCTTTTGTGTTATTTTTTGTTCATTTTTTTAGATTTTTGAGTATTTATACTATTTTTTTTATTTAATAAAATTCATTTTGTATAAGAATCGTCATAATTATATACTATTCCAATATTTTGTCTAAACATAGATAAAGTTTAGAATCTTTTTCAGGAAACCTAATATATTTTGATAATAATTCTAAAAAGTTTTATAAAACAGAATTTCTCAAGTTTATGCTTTAATAAATATTCTTGAAATTAAAAATTTTTTAAGAATTTTTATAGAATATAATGTATTGAATTGATTTAAAAAATTATCTTTAGTTCTTTTGTAATGAAAACTTGATTAATGTATTTTTTAAAATGAATTTTTGTATTTTTTTAGAAATATTCTTAATGCGCATATACATGCAAATTTATTGTACTTAATAAATCAGTAATATATGTTTTTTAAATGGATTATAAAAAATAAAGCTAAGATTTTTTTGGAAAAATTAATGAAATTTATATTATGTAATATCAACTTAGAATTATTTAAATATATATTAAAAAGTTTTTGAATTTATAATAAGTAGAGTAATATATTTTCATTAATATTTTTGCATTAAATTTATGAATAATTTTTAATTACAAATATAATTATTAACTCAAAATATGTTTATCTAAATATCAAAGTTATTTATTTTCCCTAATTTATAGATATTTTTAGTGGATTTGAGTCTTAATGATTATTTTTGTTACTATTTTAAATTTGAACATTTCTATGAAATTATATCATCAAAAGCATATTATTCAAATCTATAGATATAATTTACTTTTTAATAATTTTTAGGACAATAAGATTCTTTATAAATCAAGTAAAATTTTAAATTTTTAAAACCGTCATACTATAAAAGAAACCAACTTTAATGCAATCTATTATACAGCAATATAAACAGTCGTGAAAATTTTATCCTATTCTAATATTTTAAATTTGATTAAAGAATATAGATGTCTAATTCCTTTAATGTTTAAAGCTAAATATAAGCTTCGGAAAATTATTCTATAATCAAACATAATGAATTAAAAAAATAATAAAAAACGTTATAAACAAATACTAGTCATGCTTTTTTGTGATATCGTATGACATTGAAACTAAACCTTAACCTATAGGATATATAACGCTGCTATATATTAATAATTCGAATCAAATCACGATGTTATGTTAGATGTTAATAATTACTATTTAAATTTATCTGGATATTTATTGTTTTTGAAAAAAATATTTGGATGCGTACACATTCCCAGGGCACGTATCATATGTGTGTCACAATATGTTAATCCAATACTAAAGCTAGCATTTACCCAGCCAAATCCTTCTCTAGCTACACCCTTTATATCGATACCTTGATTGCCATATTCTGCATTAACTCTATGAGGATCCACTTCATTAGTAATATTGTATTTTTCGACAACTACCCCATTAAAGTCAACAAATGATTTAGTAACGGTATAAAGCCAGCGATAAATTATTCTTTTCGCTTGGTTCTCGTAGCCATATTTCATTAATCCTTTCCAAGCAAGTATTTGTTGAGGAGCCCAACTAAAAATATTTAAAAAAATTAAACAAAACTTTTTTCATATACCCATATGGATAATCCCATTGACGATTTGATTTTTTTGACTGGATGCGTTCTTTTGATTGCTTTGTGCCCGCAACTAACCCACCTAAACATTCAAATTTTTTGAAATTTTTTTCCATCAACAAAGCAGCTTGCTTAGGATTAGAACAGCCAGCCCATAAAGCCCAAAATGCTGTAGCACTTTCATATGCACTTTGGAAATTATTTACAGTTTCATAATCAAAATAAAGGCCTTTTTCTTCATTCCATAAATATTTATCAATTGCTTCTCGTCTTTTTATAGCTCGTTCTACCCAGATAGCACTTGATTCAATTTTCCCATCTGGCATAACGAATCTGTCATTAAAATATTTTTTTATAACATCCGCAATATCTGTTTCATATTTATATAAAAGTGAGTTTAAATCAATAGTAGCTAAGTTGGCACAATTTTTTTCTAGTCTAGATGATGTATCATGGCCACTTTCACGCACAGCTCTATCATGCAGAAAATATTCGTCTAATTCTGGTTCATGAACTTTTTGATAATTATATGCATATTGAAATTCCTCATATGTCATTTCGTATTTTTTTATATAAGGTTCCAAAATATACATAAAGTGACTCGCTTCTGTTTCTGGTGGAATTCCTAAACCTGTAGGTCTATATCTCGAAAGGCCTGTTACAGGATCAATTCTCGGAGGAGAAGTCCAAACGGTATAGTATTCTTTAATAGCAGATTGAAATGCTCTTTTAAGGAAGTCTAATGAATCTGGCCTATGGCTTATTTTATCATATACGCTTAATGCCATATCTGTAAGAAATGGTGGCTGTGATCGACAAAGATAATAGGTTCTGTTAGCATTTAAGATCATACCGTAATGCTAAATTATATTAGCTTAATAGTTTAGGGTATAAGTAATCTAACGTCAATTTCAAATGATAAATTCTCAACCATCCCCTTTGCAATGTCAACCTTGCCGTCAACAATGAGACCGAGTGCTTCAAAATAGGAATCCCATCCTAATACATATATATAAACATAGGATAATAAAAATGCATCCAAATCATACCATACATTTCGTTAAACCTTCCGCCAGGAACTATAAAAGGAACTCCCCTTAAATCCTCAACACCATTGCTATTAATATACTTTTCCATTGCTAAAGCTAAAAGACCAGGTTTTTCATTACTGTCTCTCATCCATTCCTCTGTAATCACCGGTGGCAAATATTCTACTACTAGACCAAGATGAGGTTTCGCCTTAGAGGCCGAAACATAATATTCATAAATATCCTTTTCCGTATGAGGAACGTATATACGAGGAACTTTAGATCCCAAACTTTTCGTATCCATACAAACAATTTCCAACATACTAGAATCAATTCTACGAGTTAAATCATCCCAAAAGGTCTCTCGAATAAGTCTTGATAGTCTAGATACCGGGTTTTCATTTAATCTTCTTTCATCTAATAATACATATGATCGACCATAGTCTTTTGCCAAAGTTAACTCTTGAAGTAGATTTGAAAGCATATATGTCCCCCGAATATCAAAATGATTAATTCCACTAGAATTAACCGTTCCGAGCGTTAGAACCTTGGGTCCAGAATCTTCTATAGTTATTTGCATATTTCCATCAGTATCTACTTAAAATTTATATAAACACAAATACTTTATAAAGCTACCTTCGTTTTTTAATAGAACCTCCATTGTATTCTCAACATCTATCAAAAATCTCCTAGGAACCGTATTGTTTTCATCTATTTATTAGTCTTCTTCTTAAAAAAAGTATAAACAAACCATGAGATGCTCTCCGGCGAATTGAAGGATTATAATTAGTTGATGGCAAAATATTCAAATATGTCTGGGCCTTCTCTCTCATAAGTATTATCCTCAATCTCTTCAATATAATACCGTAGAAAGTGTTCTATTTCTTCGGATAGTTGCCTTGACTGTTTCATCTGTCTCTTGTGTATAGTACGTATATGCCGGAGAAAAAGGATTCGTGCTTTCTTTCGGAATATCTTCACTTACCATAAACTTTAGGATTTTCTTTGAATATATAGCCTCCGTTAAGACCTTATTATAATCGATTTTTTATACTTTTTGATATCTTTTTTAACATTAAGATCCGTTAAAATAAGGAAATTGATAAAAAACAATTATATATAAAAACAAATAAAAAAATTATAACAAAAAAACAATATATTTAGAAAACACTTAAAAGCTAAAAATATTTAAGAAAGAATAAATAGATTATATATGTAGATGAGAAGATATATTATATTCGTGTATCATAATTTATAGTTACGGGACCCTATTTTAGATGATAAATAAAATTTGTTATATGTAAATCTTACGTCGTTTACTAGATGAACTTCCATCATTGCGCCAAAAATGCCATCTTTAATTTTATCTTCACCTAATATTTTCCGAAATTTATCTAATATTTCTGTATATAAAATCTTTGCCTCTGGCCCTTGTAGATTATTTAAAAACTAATGTTTCGAAAGATTGAGATAATAATATACCTTTTGCCGCTGTATGAAAATCAGGTTTTGATTTTTTTAATTTAGCTTGTAATGTAAATTGAGATACTCAATAAATATTAAGAATATTTAAGACAATTTGTACTGTTATCTACCACATAAAATTTCTCCCTGAATATCTTTAATAGTTTGACTCCATCTTTTTCTATTTTTCAATGAATTATCAAAAAAAAGTACGTTATTGGAAAATACTGTTCGCCGTCTTTCAATTCATCAAATATTTTTAATTTTGTAATTGTTTTAACAAGATTATCTGCATCCATGCTTGTATCATCTATTTCTTTAAGACTACTGATATTATAGTAAACACTTATATCCACCTTTACTTATACCAATAAGCACAACCAAACTATTTTAGTAAATTTTCATAAATCTAAGCATTCTTTAAAACATTATGTACCCTTGAGATATAGATGAAATTTTTTGATTATTTACTATTTATTATATAGGTATTTAAATATTTATAAGGAAGATATTATTAATACCAGTAACATTTGCACTAGTCACTCTTTGTATAACAGTGCGCATTGCTGTTTGTTTTCTTTAAAATTCAAACTTCGATAAAAATCTTAATTTCTATATATTTACAAAAATTATTTAAATATTTTTTATGTTTTTCTGTATAAATTAGATATTTAACATGTCATATTCCAGTTCGTTTTAAAGCGTGATATTATGTCAAGAAAAATCGATTGTTTTGATTTATACTTAAAAAATGTTAAATATTTTTGTAGAAATTGTATATTTTTTTAAATATTTATTTATATTGAACCAATTTAAATCTAATATTTTCTATTATTTTATTGAATTTAGGATAATAATATTAAGATAATTTCTAATAACATTTATTTTAAACGATGATTTAACAGCTTTGTGATTTTAAGCACACAAAGTACGATATTTTAAAAATTTATCTATCAAGATTTTTTGAAGAAATAAATACAAGAAATTGGTCCTATTTATTGTCATTACGTAATTGAAAAATTATAGAAATACAGAGGTTTTTTTAAAAAAATGTTAAATTAAAAATTTAATAACTCATAATAATAATATTTTTTTAAATAATATAAAACATTTATTTTAAAAATAGCCTTTAAACATCAAATTAATCCATGCAAGTTTATGGTCTTATATTAAACTATGAAAAAATAAAAATCTTAATAAAACATTATTATTTTCTATTTCGTTATGTAATATCAATAAAATAAACCTTTATCTTTTTTTATATTTAATAAATTGAAAACATACATTAATATCTTAGTTTCAATATTATATATGCATTAACAAAAAAAACTAATTCTCTTTGGAATACTTTATTTTTAAAAAAATAAACATCTAAATTCTATCATATTTAAACTGCTGTCTTAGACTTATCGAAAGTATTAACTCGACCGTTTACCCGGTACACAAATTGATGAAATATTTTAAGAAAAGTATATAAAAAGAAGTAGATAAACCTTATTATTTTTTTTCTAAATAGATATTGAAATTGAATTAATAGTTTATGACTTTTTGGGGGAAAAAAAAGACTAAAAAAACATCTGGATCAAAGCTAGACAGTATGTTATGTTAAGATTTAACTTGGAACTAATTAAAGATATAGATAATATTTCAACTGATTTAGAGAAGAGTTCCAGAAAAATAGTTAATAAAATAAATGGGTTGAAAGCAGAAAAAATAGCGCTAGCAGAATCATTATCTGAATGTTCATATGAGATAAAAAAAAAATCATTTTTTAAACGTATTTGTCAAAATAAAAAGGAAGGAATGCTTTTTGGGACACCGAAATTAGACAAAGATATAAAAAATACCAGTATTCCAAAAATCAGTGTCGATACAACTATTTATTATCCAGCATCAATACATTCGCCTTCTCGTATTTATGAAAATATTCATTATGCTTCTCCTAATAGTTCAATTTTTGACAAGTCACATGTTTTTGAACGCTCAGTAGATTATTCATCTTTAGCTTCTCCATCGACTTCTATATCGTTTACGCCGTCCGTTTATAAAATAAATTTAATAGATTCTACTCACCAGCAGCGCATGGGTATAATTTTTTTTATTTTTTATTTTTTTTATATTTTTTAGTGGATAATCATGTACCTACTGTTTTAGATGCTAGCATGGAGATTTTAAATGATTCTACTGACATGGATAATATCGAAATCGTTAGTATCAAACGTTTATGTTCTCCTGCACTTTCATCCGATACATTTCAACCAAAAGATTCTTTAACATCTTATACATCTTCTTTATATACTAGAGAAACTTCACTTAGTTTTGTTTCTTACGCTGATCTTGTCAATGTGGATTACTGCGAGACTTCTTTACCTGTTTTGACTTTATCAGATAATTCAAAGATCTTTACTCAGCGCTCAGATCCAGAGTATGTCTCCTTAAAACAAACTTTTTTAGGCACAGAAGTTAAACGACTACTTTCTAATACCGATAATGTCTCCAATATATAATTTGATCTGAATAATTTCACTTTTCGATTTTTATGATGAAGCAAAATTATAAATAATTGATATTATTTTTTTGAAAACAGTTTTTGTTGGATATGATATATGGAATTCTATTTTTGATATTACTGGATAACACCCTCTTTATAACTTAAACATATACTTCTTAAATGTTGTATATTAAAATAGAAATTTTATTGTCAAGTTTTTGGGCTATAATATTTAAACGCTTTAATTTTAATATATTATCTTATTCTATTATTGGAATATTTTTTGTATAAGGATTTTCAACAAATATGTTCTTTTTTTTTATTTTTAGAGCCTTCGTGAAATCTTAAAATTGACTATACAAGAAGTTTTAAAAATGATGGATTTAAGGTTATAAGAAAAAGAAAATATTAAGGAATATATTAAATGGATGCCATTAAAAATAAGTCCCAGTCGGCACCAGATTTTCTAGTTAACCCTATTATCAACATATCATATCTTATTAGTTTGCAACTTTTTTCTAGATTAATTACATTTATATTGAATCAATTGATTGTTAGAATGGTTACTCCTGAGATATTTGGATTTGAAATGGTCCAGATAGAATTAATTATTTCTGCTATCCTTTTTTTATCTCGTGAAGGTTTTAGAGTAGCTTTACAACGTCAAGATATTTTGAAACAGAGCAAAGAGAGAGAAATTGTAAACAGTAAAAAAGGGGTTATTGAAGATGATTATCAAAATGTTATAAATCAGGGATCGGTTAATTTGGCTTATATTCCGATTCCTATTAGTATTCTAGTTTCTATAATAGTTTTTTTTTCTTATATACGGCTTGCTAATGATTCAACAAAAAAACAACTTATTTTCAAAGGATCTCTTTTTTTATATGCATTTTCTGCAGTAATTGAGATTTTTGTCGAACCTTTATTTATTCTTGTGCAACAGAATTTTTTATATAAAATTAGAGCTATTTCTGAAGCCTTTGCAATATTTATGAAATGCATCATAACATTTATATTAGCATATTGGTATACTTTGAATGGTGACATTAAAAACTATGGCGCACTTCCATTTGCTTTAGGACGACTAGGGTATAGTATAATATTATTTTTAAGTTATTTCATTTTACTGTTAAATCGCTCACAAAAAAATTTGTGTTTTTTTCCGAAAAAGATTTATTCCCCATATGATAAAAAGTATGTTTTATAAAATTCGTTATTTTTTTTATTTACTAAAGTTTTTATAAGGGTATATCTTTTCCATCGACCTACTTTAATATTAGCAATTACTATAACTGCTCAATCGTTGTTTAAATATATCTTAACAGAAGGAGATCGAATTCTTGTAACATGGTACATGACGGATTTTGATCAAGGAGTTTATGCATTAGTTGTAAATTATGGTTTTGTGTTTCTATTTTTTAATTTATTTTTAATATTTCTAGGGTCTCTTATTGCAAGATTAATATTTAATCCAATTGAAGAATTGTCGAGGAATCTTTTTTCAAAACTCTGTTCAAGAAAAGATAAAGATAGTTATTTGTTAGCTCAGAGTATATTATTTGCTATTATAAAATTATACATAATTCTTGGGATATTTATTATAATTTTTGGTCCATTATATTGTGTAGCTTTTATAAAGATAGTTGCAGGTTTAAAATGGAGTAAAACACATGCACCGTCTGTTTTGAAATTATATATTTTTTATATTCCTATAATGGCTATGAATGGAATAACAGAAGCATTTGTGCAAGCTGTTGCTACATCAAATGATATTAAAAGGCAAAGTTATTGGATGTTTTTTTTTTCTGGATTACTTATGTTTATGGGATATTTTTTTTTAAACTATTTTGAATTGGGTGCAAATGGTGTAATTTTCATTAATATGATTAATCTCAGTGCAAGGGCTATTTGGTGTTCTGTTTATATTTATCACTATTTTGAGGTCTTAGTAATTTCATTAATTTTTCCTTCAAAAACTGTTTTTTTTTATTCTATTTTTATAGGCTATTTTATGCGATTAAAAACACATTCTATTGTTACAATATCGGACATGTTGATTAGTATAGTAATTGCGGGTTCATTACTTCTTATATGGTAGAAATTGTATTTTATCTTAATATTTATTAACATTAAAGTAGTGTATATAAAGAAAGGGATTCCTTAAAAACGTTATACAAGCAATATTATTTAGCAAAAACACAAAATAAAACCTTATAAATCAAAATTCTATATAATTAAACTAATATTAAAATGTTAAATATGTTTAAAACATAGAAAGATATCTGCGTATTGGATATAATAATATTTATACTAAATAGTTAATTAAGAAATATTAACTATAACTTTTGTCGAAAGAATATGTGAAAGTTGATTTCTAGCAAGAAATATTTTGCATTTGATAGTTTTATATTTTTTTTTTCAAAAAGGTGCTTCTATCTTTAAATTCACTAGAGGATAGGGTTTCAGAAGCATTGTCAAATCTTATTGTCATAAACAATTCAGGGTGTATTTTTAACTTTATTCAAAAAAAGAGAATCTAAAATTCATTTTTAAAATATTCATGACTAAAAATTTATTTTTTAAATTCAAATTACATTTACTATATAATAAGGTTATATTTTATTCTATAATAAAAAATTGAGGACTTATATAAAATATAAAGATTAAAGTATACATGAAATATTCTAGAAAAGACATAAAAATATATATAGGGATTAAATTAATTATTAAGAACATTCGAATTATAAATATATATTTCTTTATTTAATAAAAGAATCTAAAAAGGCTGATCTAATCAAATTGTAAGATTATAAAAATAAGATTAAAAGGAATTGATATAATATTAAAATCAAGAATGTTTTACGGAAAAGAATAGGTTTTTATACAGACTATCAAGTACAAAAAAAAGACGGACGAATTTCTTTAAAATCATTTTCTCAATGATTTAAACAATTTTCCCAAATGTTACATATTTTATGGTCAAATATACAAATAATGCATTCTTATACGATAAAAAAAGATGAATTGTCTTGTAATGATTCTTAGAAACTAAATACTCAAAAAGAACATTTTGAAAATTTTTGGAATAATTAATAATGATAAAAAAGACAAATTTCATTCATTTATAAATAATATAAATAACGATTCTAATTTTCTAACGGCAGTGTTTTTAAATATATGTTACCAGATTATCTAAAAAAATGAATAAATACAGATCTATTTTGTTGGTAAGATATTGCATATTCTAGCTATCATAATAAATAATATAGTCCTCTGATACTCTAAAACGAGACTATATTAAACAGTTTTATATATTAAAAAAAGAAATTGCTTTTTCAAAGCTTATTTATTCAATTTATAATAATTACATATTTAAGAGGATTATATCATTAATTTTAGAAAATAAAATTATATATAATATTTATTTTCCAAATAATAATTACTCATAAAACAAATTAAAGTTAATTAAAATATATGTCAATATAAACAGGCACTTAACCCTAATAAACAACTACATTTTTACTAATATTTCCTACAAACTACTAAATATTTTTAAGCTCCGACGACTCAATATTTAAGGTCACAAAAGTTACGATAAAAAATTAACGACCGTAAGACACTTTTAAAAGATGTATTTTAGATTTGTTAATTATTATTTAGAACTCTACAGGATCATGTAAATAGTATATATCTAGTTTAGAGTTTTTAATCGTGCCATAAAGCTTAACGTGGATGATGTGTAGAAGTACCTCTGCTTTTTTTTGGAGGATTAGTATCTTTTGATTTTTGGTTTTTTTCTTTGGAAAAAAGCAGAAAAAAAGAGATCTCGATGAGCTCTAGCTTATTTGGGCAAGTACCATTAAAGCAGGCAGTTGGTATATTCTGACGCGTTTCAATCTTTTTAATTTTATTAATTGGAATTTTGTAAATTTTTTTTTTTAAAAAAATAATATTATGATTTAACTTTAGATGTATGAAAAGTATCTGAATAATTGCTAGTATTTAATATATTAGTCTTCATCTTCAAGATATACATATTGGAATTTAAAATCTGGCTGTATAATAATTAATGATTGCATGAAAATTTGCAATATTACCTTTTTTCGTTGTACCCATGCGCCCTATGTTTTTTATATTAGTTATTATATTTTATTATTTTAGATTTACCTCAAAATCAAAATATCTATAGGTTCCTGACTCGTATTCATCTGTAATTATTTTTGGTTCTTCATGTCTTTGAAACCATGTAAGATACTTTTTATGAAACCTCCATGCTTGCTTTTTTAATTCTTTTGCTGCTAAATATCTTTTAATATTATAAGTATGATGCATTTGTTCAATGATTAAGATAAACTTACTGTTGATATGTTCCTTGCTGATAATAAAAAACAAAAAATAATGCGTCAATATCAATCTTTTCAAATAATTCTGGAGAATCGAATATTGCAGGAGGTACTTGTGGATAGTATGGTGGAACAGGATATGGTTCAGATGGCGTATAATATTTTGGAGATTCTGAATTTACAGGTTCCGGTGCAGTTGTAAAAGATATTTCCAAAAGACGATGTATAATGGATATTGGTGGAGGATTTAGAGTTTTTTGTTTGATAGTTTTTAATGATGAAACCAAATCTTTAAGATAATGTGGAAATTTTGACAGATCTGTTAAGCTCGAAGTGTGCGTTTGAGATTCGATAGATGATTTTTCTACCGGAGATATATCAATAGGTATTTCATGCGGCAATGCTTCTAAAGAGCTATCTGTATTTTCCAATGGTTCCAATATATTTTTTTCCTGATATTCATCTGTTGTTTCTTGTATATCAGATGATTTTATTAATTCGTGTTGAGGATTAGAAAAAGATGTCACAGGAGATGCTTCTTGTGATGCTGAAGATGCTACAGTAGATTCTTTTGCATCAGATGATGAAGAAGGAAATACCGTATTAGTGTTTAATGAATATATTGTAGATAATTGCTTTAAAGCATCAATTTGTGTTTTAGATTGTAATGCTTTTGTCGTTCCATTAGTATTTTGAGGAGTACTTGCATTCACTAATATAGGCGATCTAGATTTAGCTTTGTATGATGATACTGTACTTAAAGATTCTGTCGACTTGGTTCTTTCCTAAAAATCGGTAAATTATACTTTTACTAACGCTTATTTTAATGCTTACATCCTTATCTTTTTGAGTACAAGGAGATGTTTCATCTGCTAATGATTGCGTTTCTAAGGATGAATCTATTTCATTATCCAAAGTTCGTCCAAATATTTCACTTAGATTTAAATCGTCATATATATTTTCATCTTCTGTAAAATCGGTATCTTGGTTCGATTCAACATAATACTTAATATCCTCTTGAATAGAAAGAACCTTAATAATTAGGACATATTATTCATATTAAATGCTATACTTGTTCTGTTTGTAAATTTCCATTCTCAAGCAGCCTCAAAATTAATTCAAGCTTATCTTGATGCCACTTATGACGTTCTAACAAATGTTCAACACGATCCAACCTTTCCGATTTAATATAATCCTTATTCTTTTTCTTTAAAGATCCTTGTAATATTTCCGATTCTATTTCTAATTGCTCAATTTGTCTCTCGAGCTCATCAACCATAGAAGAAAGCCAATGACTCGTCTCTAATCTCTCTTTCTCCTTTGAATCTAACTTCAATCCTGCAAGTAGCCCCTCTTTACTAAAAGCCTTTGTTTTTATCTCCTTTTCACATGCTTTAAATCGTTCCATTTGCTTATTAATCATATCAGATATGTTTATCAAAATAATATCAAAAAAACCATCTCTATAAGTTTCCTATTCTCTTGCAAAGGCTTTTTGTCCTTAATATCATTACTAGACGCCCATGTTTTTATATGATCTCTCATTCTTTGAAGCTTTTTAATTTCTTTTTTTAGATCACCCTCAAGTTTATCCTTTTGAGACTGATTACTTGCTGACTGCATCTTCTCATAAATACTTTCAAAGGCTGCTACCCCTTCTGTAACCTGAATACCCTTAGTTATCTAATTATTATTACTATTTCCTACCTTTTTTAATGTTTTATCCACCTCGGCCTGTAATTTACGAGCAGTCATCTTAAGATTGTTCTTATTATATTAGTTTTCTTAAGAAATTTCTTATTATTCTTGACTATTTTTAAAAATTTCTTAACTTTTTAACTTAATATTTTATGTTTTTCTTAATAATTTTAAGATTGTTAGCGACCGCCGCTTAACCTCCAGTCTATCCAGTCTATATTGAATGGATGAAAAGGCTGTTTTTGGGCAAAAAATACGGGTTTAACAGGAGGAATTTGTATTTTTTGAGGGCTAACAGTGTTAATATTTGCTATATTTTTCGTATTTTGCTTGGTTTTTGTTTTTGAGGAATATTTTAATTTAAGATAGGTAAAAACATAGGAACGTGCTGTGAAAAAGATAGAGATGTTGTCAAGAAGATAAGAAATATTGAGAATTCGAAGTATTAAAATTGTATTTTATGAGTTGTTCGGTTAAAGGATGAAGTATAAGGAATTGGGCGATTATTGCACATATAAACCATGGAAAGTCAACATGTAAAATATTTTTTATTGTTTGGTGGACAGAGGGTTGATTAGGGGTTTAAGTAAGTGATAGGCTGTTAGAAATTACAGGAACGATATCTGAATCATGGAGGAACCGACAAGTTTTGGATAAATTGAAAGTTGAACGAGAAAGAGGTATTTAGGGTTTATTTGTATGGAGAGGAGTTATAATATGTATGATAAGGGATTACTGTTAAGGCGCAAGTGTGTAGTATGTTGTATGATTATAGGGGGGAAACATATCTTCTTAATTTGATTGATACTCCTGGACACGTTGATTTTAGAACAGAGGTTGATCATAGTTTAGCTGTATGTGATGGATGTTTATTGCTTGTTGATGCTTCTCAAGGTATTCAATCTCAGACGGTTTGTTTATTGAGTGGTTTTTTTTATTTTTAATAGCTTGTTTAGGTCGCTAATTACCAGCTTGCGTTATCTAGAAGATTAGTTATTTTGCCAGTATTAAATAAAATTGATATGCCTAATTCAGGTAAATGCTAATTATTATATTAATTATCTATAATTTTTAGAGCCAGAGAAAATTTTAAGTCAATTGAAGCAAACATTCAATATAGTTCCAGAAGATGTTATGTTTGTTTCTGCAAAAAAAGGAACGGGTATAGAAAAAATTATTCCTAATATTGTTGATAAAATACCTCCGTATTTTTTCTTAGTTTTTTTTATTTTTGTTGACTTTTAAAGGCCTAAAGGATCTTTAATGAATGATTTGAAATGTTTTCTTATAGATAGCTGGTAATTTTTATTATTTAAATATGATTTGAAGTTATTTATGCATAATGATAGGTATGATCCCTTTGATGGTGTTATTATTTTAGTTAAGGTTTATGATGGCTGTTTGCGTAAAGGAGATAAGATTCAAAGTATTTGTACTGGTTTAAAATATAATGTTACCGATGTTGGAATAATGTATCCTGACAGAGTTTCTACAGAATTACTTAAGGCTGGGCAAGTTGGCTATGTTATATTGGGCATGAAGAATAGTGAGGAATCTTATATAGGGGATACATTTTATCATGTGGGTAAAAATGTCAATCCTTTACCTAGATTTAAGGAATTTAAGCCTACTGTGTGGTTTTCCTTTTTAGAATATTATAAAAGGTTAATTTTGATAAATAGATATTTGTTGGCGCCTTTCCTGTAGATGCAAATAATTTTCAAAAATTAAATGAAAGTATTAAACATCTGCTGTTAAATGATAGGTCTGTATTTGTGGAGAAAGAGTCATCTAGTGCGTTGGGTCAAGGTTTTATTTTAAAAAATGTTGAATTACATCTTAATTTAATATTAGGCTGGCGCATTGGTTTTGTGGGAACTCTTCATTTATCTGTATTTAAAGATAGGTTAAAAAATGAATATAATGAAGAGGTATGGTAATTTTATTAATAAAGATTTAACGTAATATTTAGATAATTGTTACATCTCCTACTGTTCCTTTTAAATTGATATATAAAAATGGAAAAGAAAAAATGATTTCAAATCCATCGTTATTTCCTGATATTATAGATTTGAAACGTGACATTTTGAATTTAGAAGAGCCTGTAGCGGAAGTTACTATGGCGTTTCCGTTTGAATATTTGGGTGATGTTATTGAATTATGTGAAGTATATTTGTAAATCTTTAATTGTTATATATTGATATTATTAGAATAATAGAGGTATTCGAAAGGAAATGATATTTCCTTCTGAAGAGAATTGTATTCTAAAATATGATATTCCTATGGTTTTGCTAATTGATGACTTTTTTGAAAAACTTAAAGGTCTTACAAAAGGGTAATATTATCTATTATTTTAAGTAATATTTATTTTATATAGATATGCTACATTGGATTATAGAATTATTGGCTATAAAGTGGCCGATTTAGTTAAAATAAAGGTTTTATCTATATTGTTTTATCTTAAATTATTATTTAACGCTATTAGCTTTTAATCAATGGTAGTCCCATTGATGCGCTTTCTACAATACTACATAGAAGTCAAATAAATGCAAAAGGAAAAGAGTTTGTCAGGCATTTGAAATCTTTAATTAAAAAGCAGTTATTTGAGGTTTACTAGATTTATTAATTTCGAAAAGGATTAAAAAATATAGGTAATAATACAAGCAGTGGTAGAAAATAGAATTATAGCTCGCGAAACAATAAAACCGTTAAAAAAAGCTGTAACAGCTAAATGGTTTGTAATACTATTTATTTTATTTTTTCATTAATTATAAAAGTTATGGAGGAGATATTACGTATAAAATAATAAATTATGTCCATTTAGAATTTTAATGCTAATTAGTCGCAAAATGAAACTTTTATCTAAACAAAAAGAGGGTAAAAAAAAATTAAAAGATATTGGTAATGTAATTGTTGATCATACTGTATGTATTTTTAATTATGTTTCTTACACTAAATTTTAAAGGTATTTCAAAGATTTTTGGAAAAATATACATAGAATCACCGCTTCAAATCATATATTTAATCTAATATTTATATTAAATTCCACTCTAGAAAATTAAATAAACGTATATACAAGTTAATCATCTGCTAATTTATATGCTACTTGCAAATCTACTTTATGGATATCAGTGCTAAAACTTCGTAGTTTTACTTGTTCTGCATTACTAATTTCACGTGCATCACTGTCACCCCATTCATCAGGAACCTCTGAGTTACAATCTGTATATACTAAAACATTAAATGTACATCTCCCCTCAAACTGTGGGAGAAATGTTACAGATGCTGTGATTTGTCGAATAATTGCTTGAATTTCTGTATGAATCTCTTTTTCCGATTTTTCTACATCACTGTCGTTCTTAGTTCTATATATATTTATTAAAAATAAATCATTTTTATGCTTTTAGTACAACAATTTCTTGTTTTCCACATTATCGTCTTTGAATATTTCAACATCAAATTGCCATCGTTCTAAAACTTCCAATGTATCTTTTGAAACAATGGCTATCACTAGTTTTGATATTTTCCCATCTTCTATCCATTCTTTTTATAATATTAGACATTTTTTAAAAGAAAAAAAATAATTACTATGAAGCTGTTTTATTATCTTTCGTATATACGCCTTGACTTCAGTATCTGTAGTTACCAGCATATTAAGTCCATATTTTTTAACCATTTTAAAATCATCTGCAGGATATACTCCTCTCTGATACAATATACTTGTTTTTTTTAAAAAATTATTTTAATTAAGATAAATTATTACCTATTAATACTGTATTCTAGAATATAAAATTAGATAGACTTAATAAAATAGAATCATATCAACCAAAGAATTCACTAACAATCTTAGATGATCCCTTTAGAGATAACGTAGACCGTGTAGGAGCTGTATTTGTTTCAGTCATATGTAAACCTTTAACCCTGATTGTTAAATAATTAAAACTTTAGATTTTCATTTAAATATTGCTTCGAATAATTTTTGTTTAATAAGATTAAGTATAAAAATATCTTTTGCTAAAATAAAGACATTTTAGCAAGTTTTTAATATTTTTAAGAATTTTTTAAAAAAATTGTATAATAAATGGCTAAAAATGTATTTTTATTAAATAAATAGATCAAAATAAGGCATGCAAAATATATTGGAGTTTAAAATGAAAATTAAATTTTAAAACGAGCTAAAAAATTTTAATACAAATATTATAAAATAATAAGCATAAAAATAAATTAAAAAGTATTTGAAATATTAAATAGAGTCTAGGGAATCTTCTTTATTCAAGAATTATACATTTATAATAAATATTATTTATTTATTTCTGAAAAATAGCTATAAATGGGAGAAAAAAGGAAAACTAGTCAATTTAAAATAGTATTTTTTTTGATAAAAAATATCATTTAACTCTTGTTTACAATGAATTTTTGTTTTAAAAAAACACGTATTTCAGAATATATTCAGCAGCCAAAATGTCAATATTCTTAACATTGGTTCCTTGTTTTATACTAATATTCATTATTTTTATCAATTCAACTTATTTTTTTGTATAATTTCATTTTTTAAAAATACTTAATTAATAGTAATATAGATGTTTAATAATCTAAAATTGATAATGTCGGCATTTTTAATTTTTAAACGGCTAATATCCGTCTTTAATTTTGGTACTGAAAAATATCGTTTTTATTAACTTTTGGTCCTTTAAAATGGTATCTCTGGATAAGTTTATTGAAACGTATGTTGTTGCGTTTAATTTATATAAATATTATTAATGAAAGTGTTGATGCTTTGGAAGAACACTTTATTGAACGACTTTCGAAACTTGTATCAATTCCATCAGTGAGTTGCACTGCTTCAAATCGACCGGATGTCTTTAGAGTAGCGGATGTTATTTATCAGGAGATGATAAAGCTTGGTATTGATGCAGAGAAGCGACATCCGGGTACCCAGACTATAGATGGGGAACAAATTGATCTTCCTCCTGTTCTTTTTGGGAAATATGGATATGATAAGAATAAAAAAACTGTTCTTATTTATGGGGATGTATATATATATATATATATATTGTTGAATCTTATATCTTAGGCATTTTGATGTTCAGCCTGCTTCAATTAGCGATGGTTGGAGAACAGATCCATGGAAGCTTGTATATTGTAAAGAAACTGATCGTTTGTATGGAAGGGGCGCTACAGATGATAAGGGTCCTCTTATTGGATGGCTTAATGCCATTGAAGCTTTTCAGAAAGCAAATATTGAAATACCCGTAAATCTTGTTTTTTGTTTTGAAGGTATTTTACAAATCATTTCTATAATTTTCTGATTTTTTTAGGAATGGAGGAATCTGGGTCAGTTGGTTTATATGAATTAATTCAAGAAGAAGCCGATAAATATTTTTCTAATGTAGATTGTATTTGCATTAGTGATAATTATTGGCTCGGAACTAAGAAGCCATGTTTATCTTATGGGCTTAGAGGTATAGTATGTTATACTATCACTATAACTGGTAGATTTTTTTTTATTTTTCTACTTTTCTGAATTTTTTAGGGCCTCCGGCTGATCTTCACTCTGGAATTTTTGGTGGTATTACTTATGAGCCTATGACTGATCTTATTTATGTATTTTTTATTTTTATTTTTATTTTTTATTAATTTCCTTAGTTGTTATCATCTCTTGTAAAGCCTAATGGATCTATACTTATTCCTGGAATTATGGATAAAGTACAACCTTTGACACGTAATTTATATTTATAATAATATTTTTATCTAATTTCATTAGCTGAGGAGAAGGCTCTTTACGAAAATATATCAATTAGTATGGAAGAGATAGAACATTCATTAGGATCTAAAACATTAATTTATGACAATACAAGGTGTACTTTAATGCATAGGTATTATTTAAGATATTTCTAGTTTTATCTAATGAATAAGATGGAGATATCCTTCTCTTTCTATTCATGGAATTGAAGGAGCGTATTCATCACCCGGTATTAAAACAGTAATTCCTTCTAGAGTTTCAGGTATATTTAAAATAGCTATTTTGTATTTTAATTTAGTTTAAAAGGAAAGGTTTCTATTCGTTTAGTGCCCGATATGGATTGTGAGGAAGTTACAGTTTTAGTTAAGAAACACCTTGAGTCAGTATTTGCAACTTTAGGGTCCAAGAATGTACTTAGTGTTGAACCTAATAAGGGCGCTAAAGCATGGTTATCTCCTGTAAACCATTGGAATTATCGAGCAGCATCAAAAGCTATTGAAAAAATATATGGTGTAGCTCCTGATTTTACACGAGAAGGAGGTAGTATTCCTGTTGTATTAACAATGGAATCTTGCTTGAAAAAAAATGTTCTTTTATTGCCAATGGGGAGAGGAGATGGTATATTTTTAATTATTAAATTTAATTAACATTAATTTTTATAGATGGCCCTCATTCTATAAACGAGAAATTGGATAGATCTAATTATGTTCAGGGCATAAAGCTTTTTGGCACATATTTATGTGAGCTTGCTGCTGTTTAAATATCTCTAGGTTTTTCTATAGGTATTTTCTTATAAATAGAAAACAATAAATTGAAATATTTGATATTTTAAATAAATTTTATGCATTTCTGACGAGTTACCAGCATTTATCCTACAATATGCTTTAATTTTATTAGATAATATTAATATAACCATAATGGTTTACAAAGAAAACCCTAATGATAATAAATAAAATATTCAATAATATAGTTATAAACACTAATATATATAACTTGAATTTATTAAAATCAAAAATAATTCTAGATATTCTAGTAATTCATAGTTGTCCATTGTCTTTTTCGTTAAAAAATACTTATTTTATATTGGATAGTATTGTATTTGCGATATAGGGGATTATAAATAAACTTATCTAGTTGAGATAATAGATTTTGTTATATCCAATGCTTCAATAGCATCCTAAAAACAATTAATTATAGGCAAGATTTACAATAGAAAAAATACCCTCCAAATTTTCATATCAATATACATAACTGCTTGTTTCTTATTTCCTTGAGCTTGTTCTTCACTTGAAGACATGTTTTTACTTTCTTTTTATATTAGTAATAATAAGACAACGCAAAAAGAAATGATACCAAGGATTAATATATCATTTTTCCCTTTCACCAAACTAGCTTTGCCCTCTCTTATTAAAAAAGTTAAGTAAAACATATTTTCTACTGTTTGACAAAAACTTTCTGGATTTATAACAAATTCAAATAATCCTATAGGAGAATGACGTTTTAAATAATTGTCAATATTCATAACATTTTTAGGAGTTGTGTTATCTTGAGGCAATATATCTCCGTCTTTGATCTATATAAAATTCTTAAAAAATAAAAATAATAATAATAATAATAAATACCTCCTCTGGCTGAACAAGATCTTCTTTATTTTTATGAAACCTTTCTTGGCGCGTAACTTTTCGCTCTTTTCTTTCAACTGATAAAGGCCCTAACATAAAATTTATAGTAGGTGGCCTCTTATTACATAACATTGCCAATCTCCCGATTTTCATCCAATCTATCCCTGAATCTTCGTTCATATGGCAATCTTTATCAGTTTTAATAAATGATAATAATTTTACAATATATAAATCCATATCAAATAGTAAATCTCCCAATTTTAAGCGTTTTGCTTTCGTATTTACAATGCCAACTGTCTGTACAAGAAGTTGTGAATCTAAGGCTGCTTCCTGAGGCCTTTTAACTAATAAAATTGTTAATTATTACTGGTAATTATTGTCATTAATAATAATAATAATAATAATAATAATGACAATATCAATATTAATAATGGCAATACCTTTCTCAAAAAGCTGGTCTGCCATTCTTATTGTATTTATTAACCCATCATCACCTCTCTTAATATAATCTTGCTTTTTTTCTAGATTTACTTAAAAATTAAAGTAAGATAGTAAAAATATATCAATAAACCATCTGTCATCTTAATTAACTTCCTATATTCCTGACGTAAAGCCTGTCTAGAATCCACATCTTCATCTGAACAGTAGTTTTCATTATCCAATCTTAATGGAACTCGTTTTTTACTAATTAAGACCTCTTTTTTTAATGATTTATTAATCTTATTTATCTCAGAATGCTTAAGAACCATAATTTTTTAATAGAATTTTTAAAGATATTGTGTTATTAACATTCTTAAGAAAGTTTAAAAATAAAAAAATTAATATAAAACGGTATCAAAAACATATAGAAATAAATAAAACTCTATAAAAAACATATTATGAATAATTTACAAAAATTAAAAATTCTCAGTATTAATAAGATTTATAGCATTTAAAATCTTCCTATACTACATGTATAATCTATGTTCATAATCATTATTCTGTAACAGTGTTACCAATACAAGAATCACGAAAATCATTGGATAGCGCTTGAACTTGTTGAGGTTTATCAACAGCAATTTTTACAGTCAATTTCCTGCCACAGATTTCTTTATCGTTCATTTCTTCTACCGCCTTATTTTGCATGTCCTCATTTTCAAACGTAACAAAGCCAAAACCACGCCCTTTTCGTCGCTCACCTTTTGCTGCTAATCTTTCGGCCAAATAGCGAGGTAACGGGCGAAGAGCAACATATGCACTTTGAGGATTATATGCCGAAAACCATTCTATAAGCTAAAAAAATCAATATAAAAACTGAAAAAAAGAAGGAAAATGCATACATCTACGTCATTTGTATCATACGAAAGCCCTGCTACAAAAATTGTTGTTTTACTGTTAATGCCATCAGCAGGAGGTCCCTTGGGTGTACGTCTAACTCCTGGCCGATTAGATGATCGGGTTTGGTTATGTTTAGCATCTCCTTCAGAAACATTACGATCGGTCTGTTTCTGAGTACCAGGTGCAGTACCATTAGCATTAATGCCTATATATAACATAATAAAAATTTTGATCTTTTTTCTTTATAAATAATCATACCAGGCATATTCTTTTTAGACTTAGAAGATTCCTTGAAACCTAGCCCATCAGCAGTCTTTTTAGACATTTTCTTCAAATAAATATTAACCCCTGAAAAGTCCATAAACTTGCATGCTTTACCTTCGTTTTGATCTTGGCTGGTCTTTGTCGCCGATTAGATGACCTCGTATGATAAGGATTTGCATGAGTAACTATAATCTTCCGATTCAAAAGCTCTTTTTGGTTACATTGCTCAATAGCATTCTGGGCATCTTGTCCTGACAAAAAACTCACAAAAGCAATTCCCAGAGAACGAGTGACACCCAATTTATATGAACGACGCGTCGGCATACTTATCGATGTACTAAGTATCCATTATAAAACAACATTCCCTAACCCATTTAACCCATAAACTCACATGTTCCCAATATTCTCCAGCAACGTTCGAAGATCACTTTCTGTCGTTTTATAACTAAGATTCCCAATAAAAATTTTATTCCCTGCTTCTTTCTCCACATGAATCGTACTCTTCTGACCCTTCTCTGCGCCTTCCTCAATTATAAGATCTTCTGTTTGTGAAACAATATCCTTAATATCTTCTGCTGACATCTTATCTAACCCTCATTTATCTATCAAAAAAACAATTACATCGAAACACTCACCTAATATCAACGGCTTTCTCGTATTTATTAATCCTCAAATCTATTCTGGCAGTTGACTCCTGCTTGTAATTTCTTTACCCTTTTTTTTGTTAGTAAAACAGGGTTTTAGGATAAATTTGAATCGTAACTTAAAAATTGAAAAAAAGGTTTTTTAATTCAAGTAAAACGGAGTGTTTATAAACAAAATATAAAAAAAGTGGTTTTGATTATGTTATGAGGAGATGAATTGATAGAATGGGGTGTTTTGGTTTAAGACGTGTGTACAGGGTTGTCCAGTGTTTGACAGGGCTAGGTTAAGGGTGGGCAAGAGAGGGAATAAGATGTAGGGTTGTGACTGGATAAGGGCAAGGGATGGGTTAGGGATAATTTAGGGTTATTTCAGGGTTAGTGTTAGTGTTAGTTAGGGTTATATTAGGGTTAACAGGGATGACCCTTGTAATCTTAGGGTTATATTAGGGTTAGTTAGGGTTAGTTAGGGTTATATTCGGGTTATATTAGGGTTATATTAGGGTTAGTTAGGGTTAGTTAGGGTTAGTTAGGGTTATATTAGGGTTGTATTAGGGTTAGTTAGGGTTATATTAGGGTTAGTTGGGGTTATATTAGGGTTAGGTGTAAGGACTAAGAAGTGAGATAGAAAGGTGTAGATAGGAATTGTAGATGGTGTTTATTTATAAAACAAAGCTTTGTAGAATCATTGCATTAAAATGGACCAATAGTTTGTGTTTAATTGAGAGGAAATGGAATTAAAGAGTTCCGAAATGATTGAATGACTGTTATATATTAGATAGGTTATAGATATGAGTTTTTACCATTGTAAAAGAACCTGTGCCGCTTGTTAATTCTCTGAGAATGCTAGATTGATTAGATTATTAGATAGATAAGGCTTTGATTTTTACGTAGTGTATTGTAGCATATGTTTGAGGGGGATATATGCAATAAGAACATGATAGTCTGTAGAATAGTTGTTTATAGAGATTAATTTTCCCTGACGTAAGCCTGTGAGATCTTTTATTACGTTTCCTATGTCTTCGTTGCGAGGTAATGTGATGACGACATACATAATTGGTTCGACGATAGAAACGAATTGACTAGGAAGAGTGGTGATTACATGAAGAACAGCAAAACGGACGGCTGCGCCCAAGATTGAAGGTGTAACAGTGATCCCATATGTATTGATTGATTCTACTGTTACTTTAGCTCCACTTATAGGGAGTTGTTTAATAGGTCCAGATTGCAAGCCTGCCAGAACACCAGCAGTGCATGCGTGTTCAACCTTTTCAATGCCTAAATATTTGTATTCATTCGTAACACATTCGTCAATGATAATTTCATTGTCAATGCCATTGAGTTTTCCGGGATTATCAACAGGTTTTAGACGAACCACTACATCTACAGGGATTTCTTTATGCATAGTAGCATGGTATGTTTGTTGACCCACTACTTCATTTAAAATCTTTTCCCGGCGTTGAATCTGAACACTTCCTGTACGAATATTAAGACGAAAGTGGTTAGTTAAACGATCACATGCTGCTGCAATATGAAGTTCGCCGATCCCGCTTAATAGGATCTGTCCTTGGTTATCATCAACTCGCAAACTTGGATCTTCATCCAAAAGCCATGAAAGCACCTGGGGTAAAGATCGGGTTGCCTCTGCACCAATTGGTTCAAGAGCTATAGAAACCACTGGAGAAGGTAATTCTAGAGATAAATAAGCATTGCCACTAGTTTTACTATCAATTAAACCATCAAATATAGTTTGAATCTTCACATCTGCTGTATGATCCATTGACATATTAATATCGGAATCATCCACAAATATATCGCCTGTACGAATTCTATCATTACTAATCATTATGCCCCAATTTCCTTGATCAATTCGATTAATTGGTGAGCCTGTATTATTTGCTCCAATTCCAGAAAATGAACGAGGATGAATAGAATCTGAACCCAAAACAGCTTCTCCACCAATACACTCTCGTAATTTTTCAACTCGTACACGACCTCCCCGTAGAAGTCGCAACCATTGTCCTTTCTGAAGACATCCTAAAGATTTATTAATTCATATTATTCAAAAAAAAAGCATCGATTAATTCTAAGAAGAGTATCAAGTAAATTTCCATAAGAAAAGATTATTAAAGATCTTAATATATTTCGTTAATTAATATTTCTTACCTTGATGCACTGCGACATAAACATATCTAATACCTCGGTTAACTATCACCTTAAAAACAATAGCAAATACAGAAATGTCCTTTCTTTTCAGAGAACTAGCTAAAGAGTTTAGCATCAATGAAATATTCCTGTATTTTATAGGTGCATCTTCTGACTGATTTTCTGTTTTATGAAGGTTTTTAGAGGCATCTTTAATAAAGGATAGAGTTTCTAACAATTCTAAGTAATTTGTTGATATGAAATTGAGACTTTTACCATTTGAACGCTCTTCAGATGATGGTAAATACGTTACCATCGCATCAAGAAGTAATTGAATACCAATATTTTTAAGCGAAGAACCATAAAAAACAGGGATCAGAAAGTTCGACAATGTTGCCCGACGAACAGCCTGGCCTAAAATATTTGAATCAATATGTAATGAATTGGAGCCAGAATTAAGAAATGCATCAATTAAAGCTTCATCAACTTCTGTTAATGTTTCTACAAGATGAATTCGTGCATCGGCTGCTTGTTTTAATTGTTTTTTATTAGGAATAGCCTCCAGTGGCTGTCGCGTATATACAGTACCATCGCTATTTGGGTGCCATAAAAACGCTTCCATACTTATAATATCAATGAGTCCACAAAACCTGTCATTTGCTCCAGAACCATTATCAAAAATCGGAACTTGCATTGGAACTAAACGAACACCGAATTGACGCTGAACTTGCGTAAAGATTTTAGCTGGATCAACATCTGGTCGATCCATTTTATTAATAAAAATAATTCTAGGAAGCTTCCATCGACTTGCTCGTCTCCAAACATGAACTGTTTGCGCTTCTATACCAGAAATCGCATCCAGTAAAACAACTGCTCCATTCATAACTGAAAGAGCCCGTTCCACTTCAAACACAAAATCTGCATGACCTGGCGTATCAATAAAATTAATCCTATGTCCATTCCACATAAACCATATCGCTGCCGATTTAATAGTAATCCCTCTTTCCCTCTCCATCGGAAGATAATCCATAACTGCTGATCCTTTATCAACATCTATCCTACCATAAATCCCAGTTATTAACTAATTTCTATCTACCGCCAAGACTACTCGTACATCCACTATAAAAAAGCATTCTTTCTACTGTCGTCGTCTTCCCCTGTATCTTTTCAATTCCGTCATAAATCCATCCAAGAACATACTGCATCCACATGTGCCAAAACACCAATATTATGAATCTTAGACGCTGTTGAGTATCTACAGCATTCCTTACGAAGACGCGTCCTCATAAATGCCTTCAATAGTCCCTTATAGACCCGGATCTTGGCAAATGATAAATTACCAATCATTCTGGCTAATTTATTCAAAATTCCATCAAATTTTACCGGAAAAAAGCGCCAGGCTTCAATAATAACCTTAAACATGTTATAAAGATACGAAAATAACTTTTAAATACATTAATTGGCCCTTAAACGCCCCGCAAAATAGTCCAGAGATTTTAACATTTTCTTGACGTTAAAAAATATCTCGAGGACCAACGTCAAAAAAAAGCTGGTACTCTAAGGGTTGATAAAAGGTGAGTATTTTTACTGTGTTTCTACTGTATTTTTACATTAAACAGGAGGAGACTCCGTATTTTCTATAGTAAATTGAAAGTCCTGCTTTTGAAGCACTTTTTTTGACACAATAACGGATAATAAAGAGGATTTAGAACAGGGCGGCTCGGAGATAACTACCGAGCCGGAGAATCGCTATTTTTATGTGATAGTAAGGGAGGTAGAACGGTCTAGCAAGGTCCCGGTGATACGGTTTAATGTTGATGTATGGTTTTTGGACAGAAAATGAATAGATTTGTGACGGTATATAGACAAACGTTGAGCACTTTCGTTCATCGCAGTTTACGAATGTACGACGAACGTATGAGGAGTTTATTAAGCTAGGAAAGCATCTTACTATTTCTAATCCGGAGTGTCTTGTTCCTCCATTACCTCCTAGTATTACATCGGCGGGGTTAGGATTGGAGGAAGAAACGAAATATCTTCATATTCGTATGCAGAAATGGTTTGATTTGATTAGTGAAAGCTCTATTCTTATACAAGACAAAGAGCTTGTTTATTTTATTGAAGGGCATTTTGGGGTATGGTTATATTATTTATAATAGATTTATATTTTTTAATATATAGTATTCGCCTGTTATACGAAAGAACAAGCATGGATCTGTGTTGAAAAGAAAAGCGATTAAGATGCAGGGAGCTCCTCCTGATGATACTCCTGAACTTTGTAATTTAAGACCAATTGTCAAACAATTTTATCGACAAACATCTGAATCTTCTGTAAAACTTGAAAAAGTTATTAAAACTCTTCGAGGTTGTTTTCTATTTCATAAATTTGTTTAAATAATGACATTTTTCTAGTTCTTAGTGCTTCTGAGGATGAATTAGGGCTTAAATTTATTTCAATAGCAGATATGGTGCAACATTCTGGAATGTCTAATGCTTTTCGAAAACTTGGGAAAACTATTCAAAGCATCAGTCATTCACGTTTGACCCAGGCAAATACGAAAGCTGTTATTTTTATTGATACTTTGTCGTATATATCTTCAGATGCATTCATAGTAGAAGTATACTTCTTGTTAATATTTATATAGTTTTAATTATTTTCAGGAAACTTTAATGAATCGTCAGATTCTTATTAAAGAACTGTTGTCTGCACAAGCATCTTCTCGTTCTAAAATATCTACTATTACACGTTTAAAATCGTCGAGTTCAATAAAGCCTGAAAAAGTTGACGAGGTTTTGGCCTCTCTTGAAGAAACTCGTTCACTTGAACAAAATTTGAACATAAAACTCACGCGAATCACTACAAACCTTCTTCAAGAAGGACGTAAATGGACAAAGAGAACATCAAATGATATTAAGTCGTCTTTGAAAGAGTATACAAAACGTCAAATAGAATATGAAAGACGCTTGTTAGCCATTTTAGAATCGTCAAGGCCTGACATTAGAAATATAGATCATACTGGTGGTCTTTCAAGGTTGGGAAGGGAATTTTCACGATTAAAAAATAGGAATGATATTAATTCAAGTCAAACAGCTCAAGGAGATGCATGGTCTGGTATCCAAAGGCAAAAGAATCATATAGAAAAAGAATATGATGCAAAATTTTTGAAGAGAATAGATGATGTCTTAGATGCACGTAGTGCCTTTGAAATTCTTGGAACAAAAGTTAATTAGATTTGTTTTTCTAGTAGATTACATTTATAGCCATATTGAAGATATTAAGCAATATTTAGGAAAAATATCATTGTTTTTAGTTTTTTATGCATTGTACTTTTAATCTATTTATTTTTAAATTTTTAATATTTTCTATATGAATTAGTATAGATTTTGAAAAATGAAAACTAATTTTACAATTTTATATATATTGCTATAATTATAATGCTAATATGGAAAATTACTATGTATAGCAAAATTGAATATTACTTGTAATAATATACAAAAAGTTCAATTAGTTCAACTAAAAGTTAGCATCATGAATAATTTGTAGCTAGGCGAAAATTCCTTATAATTTTTTTTCTAAAATATGAACAATTTTTATTTTTATATAACCCACTAATGCTTAAAATAATATTATAATATATAATTTTATGACCATGTTTCTTGTAGATATCGACCTTCTTTTTCCATTGTTGAGAGCCAAGCTCTGGATTGTTCATCAGAAAGGTTTCCTTCCTTCATTAAAATATTAAGAAAAGATTGTTTAACTGCTTCTGGCATAAAACGAGAGCTTCTAAATATCTATTTAATTTGGAATTTTTCTTTAAAAAAAAATACCCTGATAAATACAAAATCCCTAATTTATTATATAAATAATCATATAAAATTCCAGAATTTTCTTCCATAACATGTTGAACATATCTTTTTTCGCTCTATTTTTATTAGACTCCAATATAATCCAAAAAAAAATACCTGATCTCTTGAAAATGCTGTAAATAAGATTAAATCATTGTTCTTACAATATTCCATCCATTCGTCTTTAAATAAAAAGTCCTTATATTGTGAACGACATCCAAAAAATAATATATTATCTTTATGAAATTAATAATAATAATGATAATAATAATAATAATTTTAACTTTTGCATCGATCAAAGATACGTTCTTGAATCAATGAACGCAATGGTGAAACACCTGTTCCTGGTCCTATCATAACAATAGGAATTGAAGGTAATTTAGGTTTTTTCAAAGTTCCTGAAGAAAACCCAATTTCTATTTCAATGCCTAAACTTTAATATAATTCATTTATGTGTCATATTATTACCCTCTGAAAGGAAAGAAATCCATCTCGTGCATAGACCATATCTGAAACTTCTTAAAATTGTCTTATATTTAACAATTGCTACACATAAATGAATTTGTCCAGGATTAGCCTAAAAATAAGATATAATTATAATACAATTACTTAATGTACCTTTAAGCTACTAGCAATAGAAAATTTCCTGCCAGATATAATAGGAAAAACATCAAATATATAATCTAATGGAATGTTTAAAGGTGAAAAGTCTTGAATAACTTCTAAAATAGTTCTTCTTGGACGATTAACATAATCATATAAATCTTCTTGACCCTCAGTACTACAAAAATAATGAAATTTATCAATAAATTCTTTATTATCTGTAAAATGTGCCAAAAATTCAAAAAAAGATCGCCGAGGAACTGATAAAATATCTAATATGTTTGTAAAAAGAAACCGTAATGTAGCTTCTGACGGAATTAAATGGTTTTTATAAATCCTTTTTGAAGATATTTTCAAAGGAACATCTGCAATTTCCAACCAATTCATACATTTTAGAAAAATTTCTACCTCTTTAGAAGGATTAGATGGATATAAAATAATATTATCGCCAGGATAATATGTTACTGAGTCATCATGAATATCCAATATCATATGTCTCACATCTTGCCAGTGATCTTGCGATGTTATACGCAGATTTTGAGAAACAGTTACTTTAATCACGTTTGCTCTATGAATTGAATAAGTAGTGGAAGACACTTTTGTTTTATTCAAGTTCACAAAAAATGATGATGATAAAAGCGAGGTTTCTGGATATATACTATATCCTTTTGGAATTGGATATTTTTCTAATAAAATTGTCCAAAGTTCTTGTGACCATGGAATTAAAACCCCGTCAATTCTTTATAAATAAATTAATATATCCTTTTGATTAGATAAAAGTTTCGTACCCTTGTTCATGTTGCTCATCTACTTCTCCACGCTCATGAATTGATTGTGCGCCAAGCTGAAGTAAACGTCTGTATAGCTTCTTAGATGACCAGTTATATCTTTTTTAAAAATAAATATTACAATATATAACAATATTGCTTTAATTACTTAGGATAGAGCGTACTGCCAATACCAAATACTGCAAACTCCATACTTTCAAGAAAATCTTCCGGCAAGTCTTTTCTAAGTAAAAATCTCCACAATGGCTTTATATTATCCGGCATTTCACCCTGTCCTGTTGTTGAACACACAAAAATAACTAATGTTGCCTCTATAAAATCTACAAATTATGAACCCTTCCTTCTTCATTCATCTCCTATTCCACCTTCAATCAAAATATCCTCTCCTGAACATATATATGTACTAAATAGACGCCTTCTTGCCCCTCTTTCAAGATACTCTGCTACATCCTGTGCTGTCCCTGTCTGGCTCCCAAAGATAATCCAGAGATGCCGCTTAATAGACATCTAAAGGACTTGTATTACTATTTTACAAAAACTAATGCCCCCACTGCGAGTCGAACACAGGACCTTCTCATCTCTCAGTATTTCTACGAGTGAGATGTTATAGCCACTAAACTATAAGGGCATTTCTGTGCTATTTCATAATAAAAAATATAAATTGGTTAACCATATTCTATAGTTTTATGATAAACAGAATATGAGCTGAATGAGAAGGGATAATGCACAGATAGATGTCGATCAGGCAAAGGAGACGCCGTCAAGGCGTTCAGGAGTTCCTATAGATCTGGAAGGAGAAATGCGAAATGCAGGAGCAGAGCTCATTAGACAAGCATCAATCCTTCTTGAGCTGTAATTAGAAAAAATAGATGAAAACAATTGAATGATAGTATTATAGACATGTGACATGTTTTGGGACAGCAGAAGTGTTGTTTCAACGGTTTTATTATAATGAATCATTTAGAAAATTTTCAGTTAAAGAAATAGCTATGGGAGCTATTTTTACAGCTTCTAAAATTACAGAGCATCCAATAAAAATTAGGGACATTATAACGATATTTTTGAGGATATTTGATTGTAGGGAGGGGAAACCGGTTAAAGTTCTTGAATATTTTGATGAAGTAATGATTAAGAGTGAAAAAAATAATTTTACAATATGATAGTTTTTTTATAGGACTAGGGATCAAATTTTGATAGCAGAAATTACATTATTAACATCTCTTGGGTTTGATACATTTGTTGAACTTCCATATAGATTGACTATTTATTATTTACAAATATTGGATTTAATAAATGATAAAATAATATTACAGAAAGTATGGTCGTATGTTAATGATGCATTATGTACAAGGGTTTCATGTATACAAAGTGCGCCATCTATTGCTATAGGATGTATTTTTATTGCTGCTAGAGAAGAGAAAATTAAACTTCCATATGCATGGTGGGAAATTTTTGATGTATTTTTAGAAGATGTAAAATATATAGCAGCAAGTATAAATTCGTTTTATATAGAAGAAGAAGAACGGAAGAGGAGGGAGAGGGAAGGTCATTTAACGCCGATAGATTTAGAAGAATTGGAGAAATATTTAAGTGAAAAAAGATAATTTGTATATTATAAATATATTGGAATTTTTAAAAAAATTTATGTATTATTATACATGTGGTTTTGTTTTAACAATAAAATCTATTTTTTAGATTTATTAGTATTATTTCGTATAATTTTATGTTAATAACTAATTTTAAATCTGCCTTATTTAAATGTATAATATGATACAGATATCTTTCATAATACCGAAAGATTTTGTTATTAATGGGTTATGATTTATAAGAAGGGTGTAATTATTTTCTGTTTAAGCTCTTGAAAATCATTATTTTGAGTAATTGGAAAATGATTATATAAAGATGCTATTTGACGTAAAAAAATTGGATCTTCAAAAACAATTCCTTTAAAAAAATAAATATTTAGTCTTAATAATATAAAAAAATATATTTGTTTTGGTATCTATTAGATATTTTTTTAGAATTTCAATATGTTGTTGTAAAACTTTAATTACATTTATTTGTATTAACAAATCTACAATTACTATATATAATTGAAATGGAATCAACTAAAAAAACCGAATTATATACATTTCTTCAGACGTAACTCAAAATATGCTTTATCCACTTTGAATATACCTATATTCTTAATAAATTTAGTTTCCAAGGCATTTCAATAATAATTTTATCATTATGTTTATTATCAAAAAGAGCTTTAGCAATTATATAGCCAAAAATATTTAAAATATACATATAATTCTACTACTTGGGGGCATCAATGATTTATTTGTTTGAGATTTATGTCTCATATAATAATCTGAAATAATAAATACTAAAGGATGTCCATATAATAAATATGAACTATTAAAAGACAAGAGCTTATAATGAAGCAATTGCATTTAATTGTTTTTTTTCATAAAGTTCTTTGATTTAAGTCGTTTATAGTCAAATTTGGATCTATTTTTTGAAGAAATCTTAACAAAATTTACTTTTTCATTAAAATGAATACATTTATGGGTTAATTAAAGAAAGAAGAATCAATTCAATACAATTAACATGCAAAAAATACACTTATATTGTTATTTATGTATAATCTTTCTATTCTTTTGTAGACATTTAATTTTGTATATTTTTTAGAATAGCTTATAAAAATATAAAATATCATTGATAGCTTATTATATGATACAAATTATGAAATAATCAGTCATTTTATAAATAAAACAGACTTAGACATATACAAAACCTTGTTTTAATAAGATTTTGTTAAAAAAAGATTTCAACTTAAAATAATTAAAAAAAGATTTTCTTAATATCTTTTAATTATAAGGACTTAAAATAAAAATATATCTTTCTACTGTTAAAATATTTTGAATACTGCTATTAAGACTTGATTTTTTGGAGTCGGTTTGTAACCTCAAAAAATTAGGATTTTCCAGATATATGGGTTAATTGGTCTATAACACCTGGAAAATTATATAAATATGACTCATTATCCATTGAAATCATTGTTAGTTCATTCATCATTGAATTTACCTGGGTTTTTTTCAAGGTATATTGAAAAAAAATTCAAGAAATAAAGTAAGAAATAATAGATATATAAATAATGTCCAGAGACATGTTTTATATAAGAATAAATGTTGTTATTTATCTACAGTTTCAGATATCTTTGATAAAATACTTGATAAAGCACCAAAAACTAATAAAGATATGGTTCGTTTAATAAATGATATAAGACTGAAGTGTTTAAAAATATGTCATTAGATAACCTATAAATCTCCGTGTATTAAGACATCATTGAAAAAACTTACAAAAATATCTAGACAAATTGCAGGAAAAAAGTTAGAAGATGCTATTTTACAAATGGATTTTAGTAAAAAAAAAGCAGCAAGAGATGTTGCTAAAATGTTAAGAAATGCACGTACAAGAGCTATTAATAGCAAGCTAGATGAAAACACATTATTTATTGATCAATCATGGGTTGGAAAAGGTATTTATATTAAGCAATTATGGTTTAGAGGAAGAGGAAGAATGTCAATAAGAAGAAGGCCACGAACACACATAAAAATAATTGTGAAAGACATTACTACATTAAAACAACGAGAAATAAAAGAGAAAAAGAAAAAGGAATCTAAACCTGTATGGGTACCTCTTCCAAACAAACAAATCTACAATAAATCTATTGGATTTACATGTTAATACACTTAAGCTGTTGTGTCACATTATTTTCCTAAAACATTGTAGCAAAACCCTTCGCTAAATGAACTTAGTTGTGTAAAAATTTTTTCAAAATCTTCTATCCCTCCCTAAATTAAATTTAATTATTAATATATATAAAAAATGTCCTTCTACATAATAAGGATCATACACGATCCTTTCTTCATTCTTCATTCCATAATCTCCAAATAGTTTTACTAATATATATTAAAGTAAAAAAAAATAAAAAATATAGTATATACTCTTTGCATGGCAATCTTTAGGACGTTTATAATTAACATCCTCTAAGTTTAAAGTGTCCATCACAAGAATATAATCAAAATTCTTGAAATCTTCCCTATGTAATTGTCTAGCTCGGTGATTAAGATTTATACCATTTTTTTGTAACACTGAAAGAGTTCTAGAGTCAGGTTTTGAGCCAATATGATATGCTATACAAGAAGAAATGTCAAATGACATAAATAAAAGATATAAATATAAAACCAGAGGTTCCGCAGCTGTCAATTAAACCAAATCTATCTTGAAGATTATGTTTTACAACATAATCTGCAAAAACGCCTTGTAACAAGTAAATTAAAGCAGAAATAATGGGAAAAAATAACCCTGAGACATTGGGCTTCTGCAAATATTTCCAAGACATACAAAAAGTACATTTATTTTATCAGAATAACTACTCATTGTCTATAAAAATCTTTAATTTTTTATAAAAAATAGTTTTCGTAATATTTATAAATATTAAATTTGTTAAAATATATATTAAAATAATCCCTCGACCAGATGAGTTTCTGGATTAATATCGATATCATAATATGCTGGTCGAGTTGGAAGTCCAGGAATTGTTGTAACTTCTGCAAGTAATGGTACTATAAAACTGGCACCTGCATTTAAACGAATATCTCTTACAGGAATTACAAAACCTGTAGGTGCGCCTTTTAATTTTGGATCATGAGAAAATGAATACTGAGTTTTGGCAATGCAAATAGGAAGATTCCCGAATCCCTAAAGATTTTAATAAAAAAATGAATATAAAAAGAAGATACTTTTTCAGTATATTGTTTTATTTTTTTCTTTGAAAGTTCACTTAGTTCAATACCATCTGCGCCGTATATCTCTTTAGCAATTATTTCAATTTTTTCTATAATAGAGATATTTGAATCATATAAAAGTTTGAAATCCTTAGGAGCTTTTTGGCAAGCATATTGAACAGCATTAGCAAGTTTAATTGAACCAGCACCACCCAGTGCCCATTGATTACTAACTACTGCATCTACTGCACCTGCTTTTAAAGCTTCTTCTTGGATAATACTGATTTCTGATTGAGTATCCGTACTATTTTGTTATTTATTACAATTTAAAAATATAGACTTACTGAAATTTATTTATAGCAACTATAATTGGTACGCCATATTTTTTAATATTTTGAATATGTCTTATCATGTTGCAGCATCCTTTTCTAACTAATTCAAGGTTTTCAGTGAAATAAACATTATCTAATGGTTTTCCAGAAACAATCTAATAAATAATGTTAAATAAAACATTTGATTTAGATTCATACTTCTGGACCGCCTCCATGAAGTTTTAACGCTCTAATAGTAGCTACTAAAACAACTGCATCTGGCTGCAAATTAGACGCTCTAGTTTTAATATCAAAAAACTTTTCTAATCCCGCATCAGCGCCAAAACCCGCCTCAGTAATCACATATCCTGCATCCTTTTCTCGTATTTCATCATTTTCGATACCAGTAAGTTTCAAGGCAATTTTATCTGCAAGAACAGATGAATTCCCCTAAAACCATAAACATAGTTCAATCTATCAAATAAATAATTACATGAGCAATATTTGCAAAAGGTCCTGCATGAACAAATACTGGAGTTCCTTCAATAGTTTGCATTAAGTTAGGTTTTATAGCATCTTTCATAAGAACAGCCATAGCACCGCCGACTCCAATATCATCAGCAGTAATAAAGTCTCCAGATCGACTTGTAGCCACAATTATATTGCCAAGTCTTTATGAAAACTTAGTCTAAATTTTTGAAAACGATAAAACATACCTTTCTCTCAAGTCTTTAATGTTATCTGCAAGAGCTAATATTGCCATGCATTCGCTAGCAACAGAAATATCAAATCCTGTTGTTCTTTCTAATCCTTTTTCTGTAGGATTTTCTCCAATTGTAATTTTGCGTAGAAATCTATCATTTACATCAAGTACACGCTTCCATGTAATAGTACTTGGATCAATGTTTAATCTAGCAAATTTTTCAATTTCTTCGTCAGTTAAGTCATTAGGATCTGTTTTGTCTATTCCCAATTTCTGTAATCGTTTCTTCATTATAGGTGAGAAATTAGATTTACCATCTTTTTTAGAAACTAGTCTAGAATAAAGAGCTTTAATACTTTGAGTCTCTTCATGAAAAACCCGAGTATCAATAGCAGCTGCTATAAAAGATATTAATAAAATACTTTACTTAAATACAAATAAAATACCTAAAAGATTATTAGCAGCAGTAATAGCATGAATGTCTCCAGTTAAATGAAGATTAAGCTCATCCATTGGAATAACTTGAGAATAGCCACCTCCTGCTGCACCACCTTTGATTCCTTAAATAATATTAAGCCTAGTTTACATCTTAAATTATTAATTACCAAAAGTAGGTCCCTGTGAAGGTTGACGAATACAAGCAAATGTTAATTTTTTACAATGAGCCCCTAAAGCTTGGGCAAGTCCTATAGATACAGTAGTTTTCCCCTCACCTTAATAATGATGTTAATAATCCCAAATAAAATAAAGAATTTACCAAAAGCTGTAGGTGTAATCCCGGTTACACAGACATAATATCCATCTTTTCGATATTTTAACCGATCTAAGATATTTAAATTAACTTTAGCTTTATAATTTCCACAAATCTCAAGCTCGCTATCAAAAATACCAATTTCTTTGGCCAATGTTTGAATATTTTTAGGTACTTGACTTCCAGAAATAATAAAATCACTAGGAACAGGATCTAAAGGCTTAAGAGGAAGAGGAGAAATAGTTCTAGAACAAGAAAGAGATTGAAAGTATTTAGCTGATTTCAAAACATTCTGAAGAAGCATACAGACAGTCATAGGACCAACCCCTCCTGGAACAGGAGTTATATAAGATGCTATTTTTGAAACTGATTCATAATGTAGATCTCCAACAAGACGTTTTCCACTTTTTCTTGAAGAGTCATCTTTATAATTGATACCAACATCAATTACAACAGCTCCTGGCTTGACCCAATCAGCATTAACATGTTCGGGCTGTCCAATAGCAACTACTAAAATATCTGCTTGTCTACAAATTTCTTTAGTATTTCTAGTTCTTGAATGACAGACAGTAACAGTCGCATTGGCATTACGAAGAAGATAACTCATAGGATTTCCAACAATATTACTGCGTCCAACCACAACTACATTTTTACCCTCAAGCTCAATGCCAATTGAATCAAATATAGCCATAACAGCCTTAGGAGTGCAAGGAACAAAAAAAGGATTTCCATTCCGTCTAGAAAGCTCTCCAACATTTAAAATATTAAGTCCATCTACATCTTTTAAAGGTGATATAGCAGAAGTAATAACTGATTCCGATAAATGAGAAGGAACTGGAAATTGAACAATAATTCCATGGACATAAAAATCATTATTCAGACGAGAAATTTCATTCAAAAGTTCACTTTGCTGAATTGATTCTGGAAATTTTATATGTTGAAATCGAATATTTGTCTAAACATTCATTCATACATACATAAATACATGTATAATAAATTTAATACTTCTTCTGATGCTTTGCACTTCATACGAATATACACATTAGATTCTTCTTTTTCTCCCACCTGGATAATTGCTAATGTAGGATGAAATTCTGGATATTTAGATTGCTTTTCAATAATCTCTGCTTTCATTTTTTCATAGAATGCCCTTTCAACAATTAAAAACATTTCTAGGAAAAATATTAAGAAAACTTACCCTGCAATAGCTACACCATCAATCCTTTTAGCAATTCCATTCTTAATATTGTTAACAGTCATATTTATTTGTCTGTTTTGTTGATAAAATAAGTTAATAAAGCTTGGTTTAAATAACCCGCACAACTGTGTGCTTTGGCGGAAAATATTGGTTATTATAAGTGGAATTTTGGATTATAAAAAGCTTAAAATTTTTTTTAAATATTAACGTTTTTTAACCCACGCAAAACATTCTTATATTTATTCTTAAGAAAATGGTTAAAATTATTTAAAAATATGATAAAAGTTTTAACTACTAATATCTAAAATATTATTAAATTTATTAATTTTTTAATAAATTAAGTTAACCGATCAAGTTATTTTCTAAGATTCGAGATAAAAATAAGATTAAGGTTAAGAAAAAGGATGAAGGTTTTTAACAGGGTCAGAGAATGTTATTTGAGCTATTTTTTTTTTAAGAAAAGATTAATACAAACATCAAGATTTAATAAAGTTATTCATAAACTAGGTAATTAAAAAAAAGATAATAAATAAGATTTATTTTTTATTTATAAAGATGTTTTTTTGGTTATTTGATATTAATTTAAGATAATAGAAAGAAATTTTATAACAAAAAGTTATGTAAAGAATGATAAAAATTCGAAACCGGTGGAAGGAAGGATTCCTAGTAGTTTAGAACAAGCAACAGGGATTGAGAGATATGAGCTTTTACAAAAGTTGGCGGGGAAAGAAGCTTTTGACCTTACTCCTCTTGATGCGAGTCGTTTAGGAACACTTAAGGATCCTATTGTTGTTGAAAGTCTTGATAAAACACGTTTAATAGGATGCACGGGGTTTCCTGCGGATTCTCATGATGTACTTTGGTTTGAATTATCTGTTAAAGAAAATTCGCGATGTCCAGAATGTGGTAGTGTTTATAAATTAAATTTTATAGAAGGAAATATACAAAATCATCATTAAATTATGTTAATTCTAAAAGTACGTTAAAATAATGAAAATTGTTTATGTTCAATTTGAATTTTAAATAAATTTAACGTTATTTATATTATTTCTTTCAATGATATTAAGTAGTTTATACGGTATATAAAAGTTACATAACAAAACCTAATTACCTTTTAGAGCATACTAAAGGTTGACCGATACCAGATCCGCGCAATTTAACGTTCAAAACCTTTATTAAATAAATATTAATTAATAAATAAATAAATATGTATTACTTTTTCCATTTTAGCTAAAATTTGTTGATTCGGAATTGCTTTTCCATTTTCATAATCATTTATTACACTCACTTTTTCACAAATTTTTTGTGCAAACTCGGATTGTTTGATATTTTTTTCTTGGCGAGCTTTTGAAATAGCTAGCCCTACTTCACGTCCAGATGTCTTGATAGGAACAATATCATTTTCCCGATCTATTTTTGCTATTTTTTGTGATTCTGTTGTTTTATGTGCCTAATTTTTTTTGTAAATTTATATGGGCTTTTTCTTTAAAAAAAAAACCTTATTAGATCCAGCATAAAATTTCTTTTCAATATTTACTACAACACCCAAACGTCGTGCCTCATTTATTCCATTTACAGCCTTTACTGCAGTGGTTCTTGAATGAACACCTCTTCCAATTTTTGTAACAGAATCCCAATCTGTTTCACCCATTTTTCAAATATCCTTAATATTTTTAAATAATAATATCTTTTTTGACTTTAAATATATAAAATTCTAATACTATTTTCTCTTTTTCTAGTTGGAAAATATTCAATATTTTTATTATATAATATTTAGAGATAAACAGAAATCGGTAGTTAAAGACATATAAATACAAAATAATTTGTATGTCTAAATTATAAATAAGAAATAGAGTAATTATGATTATAATTATAAAGTTTTTGAATATAAAATAATAAATACATTTTTAAAATTTATTTATATGAGGTGGATATAGAATATAAATTATAAAAGTAGTACAAATTATTTTAAAATTTTATGATTTGTATGTTTGAAATATTTTAATTGGAATAAACGAGCGTATATATAATTAATTGGATGTATAGATTAGAAATATTTTTTAAAAAAAGAAAAAAGATGGTATTTGTATTAAAAACTTTTAACATTTATTATATATGGCATATCTTTTTAAAAAAAAATGAATAATATTTTTAAAGCATTGATAACTGTAAATAATAGCAATAAATTTACTAAAAATAATCTTTTTATTAATTCTATAGCGAATCTTTAAATATGCTCGTATTAATATAATGAATAATAATAATGATGAATAATAATAATAATGAATAATAATAATAATGAATAAAAATGATGATGAATAATAATAGAATATTCTTATTAAATTATAATTATGTTATTGTTATCAAAATAATTTTTAAAAATATTAAAATAATATTCGAAATTATAAATATCAAGTTTTACTATTTATACAAATATAAAACTCAAAAATATTACTTTGATATCCATTATTATAATTATCTACTTGATTTATGAAAGTCATCATACATTTATTAGATATTATATTTCTTTTATTTACCTAGAAAATAAATTAACTAACCATACATTTTATTTTTTATAAAACTATGTTATATTTATATTAAGCTTTATTTTCCAAAAAAAAAATTAAAGTTTTTTATTATAGATTTAAATGATTTTATATATTTAAAATAATTTTATAATATATGTAACTTTAACGCCAGAAAATTAATAAAAATTAAATATATATAAAATTTGTTTATGACTCCTGTATAAAATCTTAAAAAATCTTAATCTTTATCAGGGTTTTTATATTAAACTTTATCAATTTGAAAAATAGAATTATGTAAAAAGTATGAAAATTAAGAAAAAAAGTTAAAGTCAGTATTTTAAATAAAATATTTAAATTGAATAAAATAGATGATAATTAAAAAAAAGAACCCGTCATTAAAAGCGAAAAAAGAGGAAGTTGTTGTAGATGAGGATTTGCATCAGATAGAATTAAAAGATCAGCGATATGGTTATGAAAGAATTATAGAAAGAATAGGACCATGCGAAGATAATGAACTATTTAAAGGTTTGAATAAAGTTAATATAGTAGTGTTTGAATATGATGAAGATGAAAATGATAAATACAAAAATGGGGAAAAAGATACAGTAGTTGATGTATTATATGAAAATCAAAGAGGGTAATAATAATAATTAATAATTATTTATTACTATTTTTTAAAATAATTTAGTATATCCTTATGTGGAACTTTAATGTTCTCTTCAAATTTATTATTCTTTTTTGATCCACCTCCTTGGACAGATAAAAATTTCCGGTATATATTAACTATATAAAATAAAAATTATACATATTTCTAGATATTCGCCTGTTAATATAGCTACTGCAACTTGTCCTGATCCTTCTTGGAGATGGGTAATTTCAAATTAAACATTTTTATTTATATCTTTAATTTAGGTTATTTAGACATGGGACAAATGGAGAATTGACATGTATGGAAATGTAGATTCTGATGGATGGTCATATGGTTTTTCTTTTAAGTCAAAAAGATGGTATGGAACCTCTTTTTGGTTTCATAGTTTTGTGAGAAGACGAAAATGGGTAAGACAGAGACAATGTGTAATTGGCCTTTTTCTTTTTTATATATAAACTAATTTATTTAAGTGTTTTGATGATCTTAGGTGTGAGGATGATGGAAACTATTTTACTATTAGTTCTTCATATGAGCCTTCTAGGTCTCTAACAAGTACAACTAGTCCTAGTAAAGATGTTTTATCTGTATCAGATAATTCTGAAGATGATATAAGCGTTCAAGATTTACTTAAGAGGTTAAGAGAATCTAGGATTGACAGAGAAAGACTCCGTATTTTAAAAAGATTCATTATATATAATAATAAAAGAATTGATTTATTAAAAGAATCAGTATGTATTGTTTCAATTGAAGATATAGCTTTTAAAAAATTTAGATAAAAGATATTCTTGATTGTTTTATTTTTCATGAATCTCGGCGTCAGCTTCTTGCTTTTTTGGTTAAAATGGCAAAAGATATTCAAACTGAAAATTGTAATGTTTCAGACTTTTTAGAAGGAACCAAAAAAGAAATAAATAAGGACGATATTTTAGAGCTTGCTCATCTTATAAAAAAAAATATAGATAAATACGAATTTTGGGAAGATTAATAAGCAAAAAAAGATTAAAACAGTTGATCTTAATTAATATTACTTAATTTGTATACAATTTAATACTAATGTCATTTTAATATGTGTCAAACCTTATTCTGTATAGAAAATTTATGATTTTTTATATTAATATTTTTGATTATTATAATTTACTTTTTATAATCTAAAAAATAAAAAATTCTATTTATAATTTCAACAAAATATGAATTCATGTAGTATTTTGATCTAGAAAAATTGTATTTAAATAATAAAATTCTTTAATTCTCACTAAATCATTTATAATGTTATTGAGAAATATTATTAGCGTTCTATTATAGAATATATTAAACAGATTAACTAGATAGTTTCAATTTTCTTCTTTATTATGAATATATTTTCTAATTAAATAATTACATATTTTAAAAAATATTTATAATTATAAATATTTTAGTCTTTAAATACAATAATATAATCTTTTGAATATCTAAATGAAGAAAATAAGGAAATTAAAAATATCAAATATTAAAAGAATCAATTGTACTTTAAACTTTTATAAAAAATAACTTTTAATTTTATATTTGTATGTATATATATTAATTTTATAGATCTGGCATAAATATAAAAGAAATTACTTGATAAAACTACTAAATATATTGTTTTTTACCAAATTTTTTCTTTACATAGAAAAAAGGCGTAAACTATTCTAATGACTTAAATATACAAATATAAATTTTAAAAAAAATCATCATTTTATAAATATTTAATCATAAAAATTATAAATTTAAATACATATGATATATATATTGAATAATATTTAATCAATATGTATATGATTTTTTAGTAATTTTAAAGATTAGATTAACTTATTGCAATTTTCTAATAAAAATTGTCAAAAATCGACTTAAGATTTTAAAGTTTTTGCAAAACTATGAGCCCATCTTATCTTAAGATTCATTCTGTTACCGGTGAGAAGATAGAGGTAGACATAAGTTATAAAAACTTGTATCTTGGAACTTGTATATCTATTTGTGATTTTGAAAAACTTAATAGAATTGGTGAAGGAAGTAAATATTTAAGTAAAATATGATTATTTAATAAGAAAAATAGCATATGGGGTTGTATAGTAAAGTGAATATATGAATATTTGAAAATATCTTATTTTTTTAGTCGTGCAAAAGATAAAAGAAATAATACTATTGTTGCACTTAAAGCAGTGCGTATATTTGATAATGATAGGTATTCTGGGATTCCTATTACAGCATTAAGAGAAATATCTCTTTTAAGATCTTTAAAACATAAGAATATTATAAGTGTTTTAGAAGTGGCTGTAGGAGAAGCACTTGATGATATTTATATGGTAGATGAATATCGCGAACAAGTTTGTCTAAATATACAATTAAATAAAGGATTTCTAATTTTTTGAGGATATGGCAAGTATGATGGATACTATTGTGTAAAATATACACAATCAGAAGGTATAATTTGTTTAATATATTTATTTATTTATTTATTTATTATTTAGTAAAATGTCTAATGAAACAGCTTCTGGAAGGTGTAGAATATTTGCATAGACAAAATATTATTCATAGGTGTTTTAAAATTTCATATAATTTATTTATTAATTGTATTATAGAGATTTAAAAATGTCTAATCTACTTTTAAATGCAAAGGGTATTTTAAAAATAGGTATTTCTTTAGAATATAAAAAGGTTTATATTCAATTGTTACAGCTGATTTTGGAATGGCTCGAGAATATAGAGATAATGGGATGACTCCTCGTGTTGTAACTATTTGGTATAGATCTCCGGAATTGCTTTTTGGAAAAAAGAATTATACTAGTAGTGTTGATCTTTGGTCTGTTGGATGTATTTTAGGGGAATTAATGACATCAGCTCCTCTTTTCCCTGGGAAAGATGAAGCAGAGCAAGTTTAATTGATAGCTAATTTACTTGGTGCTCCCAATGAAGCTATTTGGCCAGAGTTTGGAAAACTTCCTTTTTCTAAGCACTTTCTTTTTTTTTTCAAACAAAAGTAATATGATAAAACAGAAATTTTCCAATCAAACAACAACAACAAAGGATTTAATAAATTGTCTTCTTACTTATAATCCTGAAAAACGGATTTTGGCAAAAGCTGCTTTAAATCATGAATATTTTCAGGAATCTCCACAAGGTATTGCTTTTTGATATATTTTGTTATCTAATTGTTACAAGCTCAAGATCCTTCTCTTTTGCCTACATTTCCTGAAATAAGAAACAAACAAAAAAATGATTACAAGAGGTTAATCTTCTACTTCATATAATACTTTATAGTTAATTATTTTTATATATAGAGGGAATAAGGCTTCTTTAAAGTATAATGATTACGTTTTTGATAATTTAGACATTGAAAGATCCTTTGGAAAACGAATAAAAAAATGAAATTACATGAATTATTATAAGAATGGAAAACACAAAAAGTCAAAATGTTTGATTATATGATTATATCAAATATGGAATTTTTTTAATATTTGTTTTCTAGAAATATTCAAGTTTTATTTAAAAATCAATTTGTGAATATGCATTTATTTCATTAAGGATTTGTATGAACAAAAATAGTTATGTTAAAGGATTATATATATAAAATGTAATTTTTTTTAATTTTTGTACATCATATATTTTAATAAAAACAGTTGAAGTGTTTATATATATACTTATTTAAAAAACATTCAGATCATTATGATTATAACATCTATTTACATGATATAGGCGCCGACTATTTTCTTTTTTATGATATATATGATAAAATATTTAATCGTTTAAAAATGTTCAATATTATAAAAAATCATTTTGTAAAAGTATTAACTCTATAAAAATATGAATTATCAAAAAGAAGGGGTTTGGGCTTATGATGTTCCTTTATGTCAATTCTTCTAATAAGACGAAAAATTCCTGTTCCAATTGGGGCTGTTTTCCCAAGAATGATACATTCTGAAACACCCTCTATTGAATCTTTTGTTAATCGAGCTGCAGCATCAAAAAGATGGTCTGCTGTTTTTTCAAAAGAAGCAAGCATTAAAACACTATTTTTCTTGATAATATTTAGTAAATTTTGTATAAAAAGAGAATTTGTACCATTTTTGCTACACCAAATCGTGTAATTCCTAAAATTTCTCCTTTATATGTCATTACGTCTCCTAATAACATAACATGCCGAGGATCGATATTCATTCCATGAGAACTCATTGTTATATCAATTTCTTTAATAATAGAAGCTCTAGCTGCTTCTATTCCAAGAACCTGCTTCATTTCCATAATATGATTTGTAGACGTTTTTGTTCCGACAACACCATCAGTATTTATTACATCTCGAAGACCATATCCTTCTACAAGAAGAGTATTGTTTCCATTTTCATCTATATTTATAACAGCTCTTGAGGTAGTTGGAATACCCTAGAAATCATATTAATTTGAATATATATTCGTAAGAAAATAACCTTCACTATAACATGAGGTAATATCCGTTTATAATGTTGTAGCTTGTAATAAATTTCATCGAAATCTTTATTTTTATCATCACATGATAGATATATTTTTATTTTATCTTCTTTGACAGTGATTTTCTAATAAATGTTAATATTAAAACTATTCTATATAATAACAAAACTACCGTATTTGAAAACTTTAATTTTGGTGTTTGCAAAATTGAAGCTGCAATTTCATCAATTGTTATTTCTAGCTATTTTTATTTAAATTAAGATTGATAAAAAAATATTTATACTTGCAACTTATTTATAGTATTCCAATCAATTTTTATACAAATATATAAGGAAGTAGGTCCATAAACCTCTTCTATAAACTTCGTTATCTAGTTATAATTAATGTATTGAAATAAAGCTAATATTATATACGTCTTTTATATATGTTTTTTCAATACGACCTTTTACTACACGAGCCGACCGTATATCATTTTCTGCTACAAGCTTGCATGTTATAATAGGCGTACTAATAACTTTGGCTGCATTTATAATCTCCTTAATTCTAGGTACACCTAGCGTAACATTCATAGATGCAACACCTGCGAAATGAAAAGTCTTTAAAGTCATCTGTGTTCCTGGCTCTCCAATTGATTGTGCACCTACTGCACCTACTGCTGTTCCTAAAAAAAGTTAAATTATGTAGATAATATTAAGTAAATTCGAATACCTGGCTCGATTTTTGATTTTATATATTTTTCTAAGCACATTTGCAAATATGTTAAAAGTTGTATTTCAGTAACTTTAAAAATATTATCTACAATTTTTTCAGAATCAGCTATAGAAGTCAGTTAAAACCTAAAAGATATTTTTACTAACTTTCTAATTTGATAGTATTGATATTTTGATATTCGGAATCAGAAGGCTTTTCAAGAAAAGGTGCAAGGTTTTTTCTTCTTCGAATAGTTGATAAACGCTCTACGACATTTTTTTGAATATAATTTAATAATGAGTCTTTAAAGTTTTCTGTACATTCCTTAAATTTAGGTAATTCAAGATATTTATATGTGATTTTCATGATTTCATAAGGAAGGAGTTTTTTCGACGGTATTTTAGACGTTATATCCTGGTTTAGTTAATTTTCTGTTTTATATATTTGTATATATTTACAAGACAATGGTTCCATGTTCTCATAAACTCGACAGGGCAGATATCTCCTTCTAAATAAGTTGGATCTAGTCCATCATCTCCATATATAAATTGCACAATTCCGTATGAGGAATTACGGACAGTTCCATCATATTGCAATGATAAGTCTTCGAGTGACTTCATTAATCTTCTAGACATATATCCTGTTTCTGCAGTTTTTACTGCTGTATCGACAAGACCTTCTCTTCCAGATATAGCGTGAAATAAGAATTCTGTAGGTGTTAAGCCAGAATAAAATGAATTTTTCACAAATCCTTTTGCAGGAGGTTGTTTTGCTGATAAAAAATTAGTTTATTTATTTAACTATAGAGAAATTTACAGTTTTTTTGAAAATGTGGTAAACTCCTATCTTGAAATCCATTTGGAACTCTAGAACCGCTAATAATTTGTTGTCCTACGCAAGATACCATTTGTGAAACATTAATTTTAGAACCTATATAGTTACTTATGTATAAAAGATATAATAACACTAACCTTTTGAACCACATGTAGCCATAATTAAAGATGCATTTGTTTTTTCTAGTTCACTCATGCAAATTTGTCCGACATCTTCTCGAACTTTTGAAAGTATTCCAGATACTTTTGCTTCCAACGTCTGTTCTGCATCACAGCCTGGTTGATTTTCGAGTTTTCCAGATGACAAAGCACAAATTAAATCATCACAGGATTGGTATGCTGCTTTTACTAGACTTTCTTTCTTTTTTTTTAATAAAACTCCTGGTTGAACGTCATTTATTCCAATTGAAAAGCCTTGATTCCCTAACCATCTTGAACATAATTTTGAAAGTCGGTTCATAGCTTCTGCTGCTTCATCAGGACCATAATTCTTTAAAATAACATAAAATATAGAATTTTTCTTGCCATCTCCTACTGTTGATTTATCCATAACACCGCACATAATCTCACTTGAACGTATAAGTAAATATCCATCATTGGCACAAAGATCAGGCACTCCCTTTGGAGAACTAAATGATCTAGTTTTTGCATCTAAATTGACCATTACTGGAGAACTTTTGTTAGGTCTCATGAGCACATTAAATATCTGCTTTCCTGTCCACAATGTCACTGGTTTTATAATAACAGGATGAGGCAAATCAATATTTTTACAAGCATCTACCATAAAAGAGCATATATGGGTAAATGTTTTTCTATCATAAAAATTATCTTTTTGGCTAATTAAATAAGATGCAGTAATAAAATCTTGTATTGCTGCAATAATTGGTTCGCCATTACGAGGTGTTACGAGGTTGTTTTTTACATTCATTAGTTCCATTGCTTCTGCTCGTGCTTCTTCTGTTTGTGGTACATGTAAGTTCATTTCATCCCCATCAAAATCAGCATTGTATGGATTACAGACACATTCATTAAGTCTAAAAGTTTTCCATGGTCGAACTTTTACCTAAATTTTATGAGTCTCTTATTTGCAAATAAGAAAAAGTGTACTCTGTGACATAATATACTAAGTTTATGCAAAGAAGGCTGACGATTAAATAAAACAATGTCATCGTCATGAATATGGCGTTCAACTATATCTCCAATTTTAAGTTCTAATGATATTTTCTGACGATTTCCAAATTTTAAAAATTTTTTAAATCCGTTATCTTGATTTATAATATAATTCGCTCCAGGATGAATGTCTGGTCCATTTATTATAGCTTTTTTTAATTGCTCGATATTATGATGTGTTACTCTTTCCGGATAGGTTAAAATTTTGGCAATTCGTTCAGGAATGGCAACCTTTATTAATTAATCAATTAAAATAATAAAATTTTACTAACCTGATCTATAGAAAGATTAGGATCCGGTCCAATTACAGTTCTTGCGGAAAAATCAACTCTTTTTCCTGATAGATTTCCTCTAAATCGGCCTTGCTTTCCTTTTAATCTTTGACAGAACCCTCTAGGCCTTGCATTTGTTTGTGAATATATTCCAGGCAATTCACTATTAATATACATAGCAACACATAATTGTAAGTAATCCCATTGTTCCTATTATAAATCAAAATTAGCTTGATTTAGAAAAAAAATGAAAAAATACCATTAAATTTTGAATAGGTGTTCCTTTTTCTAATGCACTTTTAATTAATGAATTGGTCCATATAATTTCTGCTAATTTAACTGTTAAATCATCTTCGGTGCTAGCGCCATCCTGAGAAATAGATGGTCTTACACAAACAGGAGGGGCGGGTATACATTGCCAAATAAACATCTCTGGTCGGCCTTTTAATGAATTTATACCTAAAAGCTCACAATCCTATGACAATTAAAAACAGATAAAATGTTTATAGTTGATATCACCATAGGAGGAATTTGTTTAAACAAATTTAAGACCTTCAGAGGATTTAAATCATCATGAGCCTTAGAAAGATGGGTCTTCATATCAGGTGTAGAATTCAAAACTGTTTCAAAGGTTTTTCGAAATTCTATTTCTTCTTGATTATTTTTTTTATTATATTTGAATTTTTCATGAATTATCTTCAATGCTCCAACTTTTTTAATAACACCTTGTGTACTCTGACAATTGGGACATATTCTTACTTTTTTACATGTGTCATTTATACGCTTGTATATTTGTGATTTTCTTAGATTATCTGACTCTGCTTTTCTTAATTCTTTCAAAAAACTATGAATATCTTTTAGTTCTAATAATATTT